GACTGATGTGACATTGTCACAAGGAAGAACCTCACTATCAAAATCCCAATCATTTGTTCATGGCTCATTGTTACTAAGAAACTGTATGAGCTTGCAAACTAAAAGGCCTATATAACCTTTAATGGCCTATGTGACCTTTAACACCGATGGGCCCCAATTCTTATGAATCAAGGCCCACTTAAATCTGTTTATCTCACAGGTGGCTGCAAGTAATTAAGCTATTGTGGACTGCCCCTCTAAAAACCCTCTGAATGTCTGTCAAGTTGAACTGCAGAACCACCTGGAGAGTGCATAATCTGGGAGTGGGAGTGACCTAGAAGGGACATAGTGGGCTCCTCCCTCTTAGGTTACCACTCCCACTGGAAGGCACGAAAACCAGGACTGGGGCGGGGTGGCTAGACAGAAGGACGCCCAACAGCATGTATGCCTGAAGTGCCTGCCCAATTTCATCTCCGGGCCATTGCCAAGGGGGTCGTGTTTGAATGGTCAGTTTGTCATCAGCAAGGAACTGAGGAAGTTAACCAATATTTTCTGAGCTTTTTGTCTCAGAACCAGGTATCAGGGAAACCAAGATATTTCCTTTGTTTATAGAGAAATTCCTTTGAAGTGAAGACACCATCTCCACCCTTCACTTGGGTTTTCCTTCCTTCTGGAGGCTCCTCCTGCTACTAAGGACTTTAGCGGCTAGACTACTTCACCGGGCCTGCAAACAGATTTTAAAAGTCCGAATGCAGCCAAGGAAATCAGAGACATCAAGGAAAGATGAAGAGCAATAAATAAAAACCTTTCAATGATTTCAGAGAAAAAGATGCCAGACATCTGAAGAAAAGATAAGACCCAAACCCTGCAAATATTTAGAAAATGGCAAGTCAGCTGCCCGACTCCTGAGAGTTAAGGGTAACATGACGTCAGGTGCGAGGGCTACCCGGAAGTCACAGCGCCTCTGCTTACTGGGAAGCCAGGATTCCAGGAATCTGACGCAACTTCCGCCCGAACCAGTGCGGACCGCCCCCCTCAGGAGAGACGCGATTCTGATTGGTTGCGTCTCCTCTGACATAGCGTGTGCTCACTGGCTGCGTTCACTGGGCCTTCAGGCACGCTGTAGTCGCGCCGTTGAATAAGGCGGGACTTCCTTCTGAGCGCAGCCATTTTGGCCCTGATGGGGAAGGTGTTGTGCTGGGACTGAACGGATTCATCCTGGGACACTTTGGAGCTGGAAATGGTGCGTGGTTGGGCCCGGGCCCTCGGGATGTGCAGCCCGCGCGTTCTGTGTCGTTCTGCTCGCCTCCTCGGGGCCAATCGTGGAGGAGTAGTGTTCTAGTAGGGCGCTGGATCGGAAGTGGAGCAGCCGGGACTCGAACAGGCGGCCGCCCGGATGGGATGCCGGCACTGCAGAAGGAGGCTTCATGGGATATTCGGTGGTACCGGGCCCCGTTTTTGTTTTGTTTTGCTTTTACTCGGTTCTTTATCAAGACTAGCGTACACTGGGTCGCAGTGGGGGAAATGAGTTTGTTTCTTGATTTGCTGATTTCACTTCATCAATCTTTTTCTGTTTTCTTACCGAGGGAAAATACATTCATATCCTCGCCCCCTGTCTTAATTATATTATAGGGGATTTTTTTTTTTTTCCCAGTTCCCTTCCATATCCTGGGTCGTAATCGTTAGCTGGATAGTTTTCAGGTCTTTATATTTTTGGCATTCTGCTTGTTGGTTTCAAACGCTTTGGGGTTGTTTTTCTGGTGAAAAAGCTCTTGCTTGACTTAGTGAAACTTGTCTGTTTTTGTGGCGGGCGCTTTTGAGATACTATCCAAAAACTCTTGCCTGCTATCAATGTCTTACGGCGTGTTCCTTACGTTTTCATAGTTTTCGATCCTGTGGTTGGATTTCTGCATCGCATTGGACTGTTTCGTAGTGTGATAGGTGTGAGGGTAAGCGTTTTCAGTTTTGTAAATATTTAGTTGCCTCTGGACCGATAGCTGGAAAGATCTTTTTTTTTTTTCCTAGTGTATTTTGGCTGCATTTGAAAAGATTTCTTACCTGTAGAAAATGTGAGTTTATTTCTGGGATCTCTAATCTGTTTTCAGCGATCTGTGTGCCCGTTTTGATGCCAGTGGTTATATTGGCTCGCCAACCTTTCTCATGTTTACTGTGTAAATGGCCACAGTGTTTGAAACTATGTCAGGTCAAAAGCAGGTGCCTGCCCTTGCTTGTGAAAATCTATTCACATTGAGTGCAGGGACCCAAGAACAGGGACCGTCATCTGCCGCTTTCCGATGTGTGTTTGCAGATGGCAGGGTAAGAGGAACGTTTGATCTGAGATGAGATGTCGGCTTTGCGGTCCCCGACCCCTCACACTGCCCCCTCTGAAGTCTGTCCTGGGTCTTGTGATGCGTGTGACGTGTAACTGGCTTTGGATGTCTTTAATTGGTTTGTCAGTGTTTTCTGATGATGATTATTATAGAGGTCTTTCACCTCCTGGATGAAATTTATTCCGAGGTATTTTCTTGTCACTGTTGTGAAGACATTGTTAGAATTTGTCAGTGAGTTCGCGCTTGGTATGCAAATATGCTGGTGATTAGGAATGAAAACCTGAAATGTGTTTCTATGGAATTTTTTTAATAAAAGATTTGTCTATTTATTGGAAAGTCAGATATACAGAGAGGAGGAGAGACAGAGAGGAAGATCTTCCATCTGATGATTCACTCCCCAAGTGACCACAATGGCTAGAACTGTGCTGATCCGAAGCCAGGAGCCAGGAACTTCTTCTGGGTCTCCCACACGCAGGTGCAGGGTCCCAAGGCTTTGGGCCGTCCTCCACTGCTTTCCCAGGCCACAGGCAGGGAGCTGGATGGGAAGTGGAGCTGCTGGGATTAGAACCGGCGCCCCTATGGCATCACAGCACATTCAAGGCTAGGACTTTAGCCGTTGGGCCACGCTACTGGGCCCCTGAGTCCTTTTTCTTAATCTGTTGAGATGAGAATCCTAATTTTATGCTTCATTTTACTGATGTGATTGGCTTCTTTATTGGCTTATTTGCTTTTGTTGTTGTTGTTGTTGAAAGTTTGGCTTTATTTGAAAGGCAGAATGGCAGAGAGAGGTCAAATAAAAGATGTCACAAGTGCTGGTTTAATCCTCCAGTGACTGCCATAGCTGAAGCTGAGTCACGCCGAAACCATGAGCCGAGAGCTCCGTTTCGATCTCCCCTGTGGGGTCCCAGGGTCCCAAGTGCTTGGACTGTCCCACCGGCCTTGCAGGCGCAGTAGCAGGGAGACGCACGGGAAGCAAAGAGGCTGAAACTGGAGACAATGCTCTTGAGAGGTTGCCATTACAGTCGGTATCTTAACTCACCGTGCCACAGCCTGGCCCGTGATCCTTACAGGCAGGCGCGCCAATGTGTCCCTGCCATAATTCCCATCTCATCAAGATGCCTGGCCTAGAAGAGGTGCACTTGGATTCAGCGCGTTGGTGTGCCAGTGAGAGTTTTTGTGCTTGTTCATCAGGAGTATGGGTCTGTGTTTGATCTGGAAGTCAATGGAGACAGGTTGAGAAGGGAAGGGATTCCGCGTACACCGATTCTCCCCACACGCAGACTCCAGAAAACCCTGGCCTCCAGGGTGTTTGCAGAACGTTCCGTCTTTTTCAGATTGTGCAATGGCTTGAGAAATCTTTAGTGGGGTTTCAGGTTTTGAAAGGTGAAAGCGGTTGGTGGTAAAGTCAGGGTATTGGAGGCTTTTGATTTAGCCTTAGTGGTATCCAGTTCTTCGCATTGCCTGTGGCTTCGCGGGTCAAGTTCTGTGAGCTGCGTGTGCCAATATGTTCCCATTTCTCCCTTAAGGTTCTCCAGTGTGTCACTTTATACTTTGCTGGTTTATAGTCCCTCCTGATGTGTTCTGTCGGAATGCTCTTTAATCTTGGACTTCTATTTATTTATTTATTTTAAAGATTTATTGAGTTTTATGGCAAAGTCAGATCTACAGAGAGGAGGAGAGACAGAGAGGAAGATCTTCCATCCGATGATTCACTCCCCAAGTGGCAAACAATGGCCTGAGCTGAGCTGATCCAAAGTCAGGAGCCCAGAGTCTCTTCTGGGTCTCCCAAGCAGGTGCAGGGTCCCAAGGCTTTGGGCCGTCCTCCACTGCTTTCCCAGGCCACAAGCAGGGAGCTGGATGGGAAGTGGAGCAGCCTGGATACAAACCCGTGCTTACACAGGAGCCCATGCGTGCAAGGCGAGGACTTTAGCCACTAGGCTACTGCGCCTGGCCTGTAAGTCAAGCTTCTAAGATTTAAATCTTGTCAAGTATTTTACAGCTTTTTTGGCCCTTTTCCCCAGTTAGTTCCACCCTGTGTTTTGGATAGTGGTCGGTTAATATCCCTCATATGAACCTTAGTAATGGATCCGGTTGTTGGACGTAGCACGCGTGCGGATGGGCGTGTTTTGCTTTGTGAAAATAGAATGCCCTATTTTTACATTGAGGCATGCATTTGCACTCCAGTCTTGTCTGAAACATTTGGGAACAGAGTTCCAGGCACAAAGGAGAGCCTGGTGATCTTAGAAATTAATGTTCGTGGGCCCGGTGCGGTGGCCTAGCAGCTAAGTTCCATGCCTTGAACGCACCAGGATCCCATATGGGTACCGGTTCTAATCCTGGCAGCCCCGCTTTCCATCCAGCTCCCTGCTTATAATAAGGCCTGGGAAAGCAGACAAGGATGGCCCAAAGCCTTGGGACCCTGCACCTGCGTGGGAGACCTGAAAGAGTTCCTGGCTCCTGGCTTTGGATCGACACAATAAAAATAAATAAATCTTAAGAAAAAAAACAAAAAACAAAGAAATTTGCAGTCAAAGCATTTGCCTCGTGATTATGGTTTCCGTTGCCGTGCCATACACAGCCTAAACTGCCTCTTATCTGTGGGACGCGTGTGAGGCACGCACGGAAGGCGTTCGCTGTCTTCCTGTGGAGTGATCCAGTGCTGAAATGTTGATGAGCCATGCACCCTTGCAGGAGGTGGTGTCCTTTGAAGACCTGGCTGTGCACTTCACCCGGGCCGAGTGGCAGGGCCTGGACAGTGCTCAGAGGAAGCTCTACCAGGATGTGATTCTGGAGACCTACGGCTGCCTCGAGTCCTTGGGTGAGCGGTACTCCATCAGTCACGGCCAAGCGCAGCACCTGTTCCCCTTTGCTGAACCAGTGCTTTGGTGGTAGTGGGGGATTTGGGGTGGGACACTGCTAACTTAATCCTGGTGTTAGATCCAGTCACCCAGTGAGGATCCGTGCTTGCTAGCAGAGGGTCCACATGGTCCCCCTTCTCACAGCGATCTTAAAGTCCAGCTGTTGTCTTTGAAGAGCTCTTCGCGATCTGACACAGCGCTGCGCTGGTTTGTATTGACAGGATTGTGCGTCTCCAAGCCCTTGATGATCTCCAGGTTGGAGCAAGGAGCTGAGCCATGGCTGGAAGAAGGAGCCCTCGGTGAGAGCCTGCCTGACTATAACTTGTCCTTTCATAATGTTTTCTTCCTTCATAAATTGATGATTTTTATTTTGACAGTGCTCATTAACTGGCACTCCATATGCACTGGTCTTTTTCTAGTTGTCCACAGTGAGTTTGTTTTCTCTCTCTGTTTAAGGATCTGTCTGCTTTTATTTGATAGGCAGATTTTATACAGACATCTACTGGCTTACTCCCCAAATGGCTTCAAAGCCCAGAGCTGAGCTGATCTGAGGCCATGAACCAGGAGCTGCTTCTGGATCTCCCACATGGGTGCAGGGAACCCAGGGATTTGCTCGGGCCGTCACATCCTCTACTGCTTTCCCATGCCACAAGCAGCGAGCCGGGTCAGAAGCGGAGCAAGAACCGCCACCCGTATAGGAAGCCAACCCTTGGAAGGATTAGCCGGCATTGCTACCACGCCCACCCGAATTGCGTGTTCATTTTTCGTTTGCCAGGCTGAGGCCTTTCTGTGGCATGCAATAGGAGTGAAACACTAGATGGGAGCTATATCTCTTTTACAAAACCAGAATAAATAAATGTTCTTTTTAAAAAATTTTATTTATTTTTATTATAAAATCAGATGTACAGAGAGGGGGAGAGACAGAGAGGAAGATCTTCCATCCGATGATTCACTCCCTAAGTGAGGATGTTTCTAGACTCGGTAAGGGAACCAGGAAGTTCTTGGTCTCAAGGCCATGGGAACTTACAGATGCAGGTGGAAAGGCTTAAATTTGTTTAAATAGTACTGGTTACCAATTGGGAATAAAACTGTTATCTATTGAGGAAAAGTGGGGTTTTTTGAAGTTAGGGTTCTTTTTTTTTTTAAGATTTATTTATTTTTAATTGCAAAATTAGATTACAGAGAGGAAGATCTTGCGTCTGATGATTCACTCCCAAAGGACTGCTTTCCCAGGCCACAAGCAGGCAGCTGGATGGGAAGCGGGGCTGCCGGGATTAGAACTGGCACCCATATGGGATCCCGGGTGTTCAAGGCGAGGACTTTAGCTGCTAGGGCACGGCACCAGGCCTGGGTTGTTCCTTGTTGAAGGTTACTATAAAACCAGCAGGAGATAACAAACACAGGGGAGACATCTTCGTGTGTGTTGAGACCAGGAGACAACTAACGTGTCCACGTGGAAACCACAGGCTGTCAGAATTGTGACTGGTAAAGCTGGAGTGAGTGTTCCAGGAGGATACCAGGGCCACTGAGCTCAGATAAAATACTCTCAAAGCAGACAGACTGCACCTGAGGGGGCAGAACCAAATTCTTTATTTCCTGTCGTGCGGGTGGGAGACCTGGAGAGAACCCTCGACTCCTGGCTTCCATGTGGCCAGGCCCCAGCTGGTGCGGCCTTTTGGGGGTTGTTGAACCTAACAGATGGAAGATGTGTTTTCCTGTCTCTCTCTCTCTCTCTGACACTCTGCCTTTCAAATGAATATTTTGTTCATGAAAGAACTGATAAGGTGGTAAAAAGAATTAAGACGGAACATTGGGAAATCTGTTGAAGTTGTTTATTAAGAAAAAAAGGTCAGTCGCTAAATAAGCATCAAAGGTAATTGTGCTTCATGAAAATTGTTGTTGTTTTCTCATTTCAGTTGCCAACAGCTTGGATAACCCAAGTGGGGCCAGCCGGATAAGTCAAGACACGAATCCGAGGCAAGTTGTTTAGGAAGTGGGATCTGAATTTCAGAATATTTCAGGATCTGTGCTTTCCTGGTGAGCCTGGTGCAAGCTAGAGCGACGGTTGCTCCCAGAAGACACGGACGAGCCCTCCACTGCTGGCAGCATTGCAGCACCACAGTATTCTGACTGCTGCAGACTTTTGAATGCAGGGGATGGGGGCGTGGAAAAATCCAGAATCAGGACAGTGTCCCTGCAAATATCATATTCATATGAACACGCCTCTGTCTTAGTAACAACTCAGCATAGACCCAAAAACGCCTGCTGCAGAGCTCGGCCAGGAGAGTTGTCTAAACTGTTCTGCTTTTCGTCCTCTGACGTAACTGCACCGTGGCACTGTAGGTAGTTCTCGTAAAAGGTGAACATACGGGCCGGTGCTGTGGCATAGAGGGTAAGCACATCACCTATGCTACAAGTATCTCCTTTGAGTAGGTTGGAATCCCAGTCGCTACACTTCCAACCCTACTGTCTGTTCATATCCCTGGAAAAGTAAGATCACCCAAGAACATGGGCCCCGGCGCCCAAGTGAGAGACCTAGATGAAGCTCCTGACCACTGGCTTTGGTCTGGCCCACCTGTGGTTGTTGTGGCCATTTGGCGGGTGAAACAGCAACTGGAAGATCTTTCCATGTCTCATCTCTGTTAATTGCCTCTCCAATAAATAAATCTTCAAATATATATATGTTAGCTGGGTGTGATGTAGTAACCTAGGGACTAAAGTCCTTGCCTCGAATGCGCCAGGATCCCATATGGGCACTGGTTCTAATCCCGGCTGCCCTGCTTACCATCCAGCTCCCTGCCTGTGGCCTGGGAAAACAGTCGAGGACGGCCCAAAGCCTTGGGACCCTGCACCCACATGGGGAGATTCAGAAGAGGTTCCTGGGCTCCTGGCTTCAGATTGGCGCAGCACCGGTCGTTGCAGCTGCTTGGGGAGTGAGCCATGAGATGAAAGATATTCCTTTCTGTACATCTTTGCAATAAAAATAAATCTTAAAAATATATATAAGCTGAGCAGCACAGAAGCCACATGGAAGCAGAAATGTGAAGCATAAATCTTAGAATCTCTGGATAACTTATTTTTGAGTCCCACGAAATCTTTTGATTGGTAATATCCAGCTTGTTGCATAGATCATGTTAATGGAACTTGTACATGAGGTTATGAAATCGCTTTGGTCATATTTAACTCTTCATTTGTGTTTTCTTTAAGGTATAATTCTGGGGACTTGTACATGTCTCCAAGAGCAATGAAAGTGAATTTATCTCCTGTAAGTTGCTTATTTAATGATTCCTCATTTTTTTTCCCCGAGCTTTTATTTTTAGAGCTATAACGGTTTACTCTATAATGGTCAACTAAAATGGAAAAATAAACATGAATAGAGTTTGCCCACACACAGTGCACATGAACAGGATGAAGTTGGCTGTTTCTAAAACGTTAGAGTGATGTCAGATAAGGCAACTCGATGTCTGGTCTTTCTGTTGGCACATCCCTTAACATGTTTTCAGTTGAAGCTTGGAAGAGATTGTGAAGCTTTTGTGAGGTATATGATCCGTGAAGCCAAGTCTTTACTGTCGCATGTGTGATGCAATGGGCAGTGTTTTGGTGCTGCCCTGTAAATCAGCCCCCAGCACTCTGTGGTGCTAGGAGTTACCTAGGGTTAAAGCATAAAGCAGTTAGATTTTCCTAGAATTCCTAGAAAAGGTTGGGCCTTAATTATAGATGTGAGGAGCCTAGCTTGGACTCATGGATAGACCCAGAAATGTAAGGAATAGGATTTGTTTTAAGTTCCTAACTGTACGGCATATATTTCTCTGAATTAGTCTACAAAGGCAGGTTGTATTGCAGATTTTCCAGAGCTATAGTTTTGGGCAGATAATTTGCATTGCTTGTTTTCGCATTATCTATTCAGTGTAGTGTTATTTTAGTTTCCAAATGCTTTATCGGCAGCACAATCCTAGATCAGTCATTTTTTTTTTTTTTGTCTTACTTGGATCTGTTGCCTTATTTTAAACTATGTATGAAATAATAGAGATGTTGACAGAGGTAGAGCTGTCATGTACCGATTCACTACCAAGCTGAGATGGGGCAAGGCTGAAGCCACAAGTGAGAAATGGAGTCCAGCCTTGATGGCACATTGTGGCATCGTCATTCAAGTCTTCATTGTCTGGGGGCTGGAAACAGCAGCTGACATGGGCAATCTTATCTGGCTTCCTAAATACTGGGCCACATGCCTGTTTTCTCCTTGGGAAAAAAAAAAATGTTTCTTTTCTCACACCCATGGGTTCATATCCATCATAGCCTCAGTGATGGCTTTTGTGTCTTTCCCCCTGAATGCCTCTCCTTTTTTTTTTTCTCTGTCTGTCTCTCTCCTTCACATGGCTCATTCCAAAGTCCCATCTGGTCTTTCATTATGTCTGCTCTGCAATTTCCCTTGACAGATGTGGCCCTCCGTGGTCTGATATTCCCATTTCCTTGCGTGTTGAACCTTTTCCACAGCCTTTCCAGACCTTCTCATGAACACTTCTTTGTAGCTGAAATAGTGCCTTAGAAATCTGAAACCAAATGACATTCTTTATTCTCTCTTCATGCTCTTCTATATTAGTGTTTTACAGACTCTAATCATTCGTTTTATGTCAAGGCTATTGTTTCGAGCAGAAATGTGCTGTTGCAGGTCCTGGTATCATTTGAAGACGTGGCTGTGGACTTCAGCTGGGAAGAGTGGCAGCACCTGAGCAGTGCTCAGAGAATTCTCTACAGGGATGTGATGCTGGAAATCTACAACAACCTGCTGTTCTTGGGTGAGCGATCCTTGGCACATGCTCGGTTGGAACATTTTTACTATTTGACAAAAATTTTATCACGTTCAGTGCTGGTTAGGGAAAGAATGTGAGTAGAACTTGAGCCCATGAAGAACATGAGCGCCTACCCTGTGGGAGAGAAGTCAAATTGGAACTTCAGTTGTTGTCCCTTAGGTAGTAATCTACAGTATTTCCCTGGCAAGGTCTTAACGTTATTTCCCACTGACAGGATGCTGTAACACTAAGCCTGACTTGATCTTCAAGCTGGAGCAAGGACCAGAGTCATGGATGGTGCAAGAGTCTCCAAACCTGAGCCTTGCAGGTCAGTCAGCCCTTACCGGGCAGGGAGACCCTGACAGAAAGGTTGCAACAGATATTGATTGCAAATTTTGTCACTAATTTTTCGCAAGTCCTAGGCCAGAAGACAACTGATTTTCTGCACCAAGCACAATCTCTCTTTCTGTTCACAAGTAAACATCTCTTAATTCTGTGAAATTCCATAAGATGCATCTTATGTCTGTGAAATTCCATAAGATGCATCTTATGTCATGGACACAACAAGTATCTTTGCCTTCACATGAGTAATCTGTAGAAAAACGACTGGGTGTGATACAGAGACATGCTTTTTTTTTTTTTTTTTTTATCGTTTCAGTTGCCATGGAAGATGACCCGATTGGAATCAACCAGGAAAGACAAGACACGAATTTGTTTCAGGATGTTATGACAAATAACAACACGTTGACTCATGAGAGGGTTGAATTAAGAAAAACGCCTAATTCAACTTCAAGCTGTATTCCAAAACTGATCATTAAGAAAGGAAATTGTTCAAGAATGAAACCTGACGAATGCAGTGGGGACTCCAGTCCGTATCCCCACAGTGGACATATTGACCAGCAAGCTGGAGAGAAACTTGATATCCCTGGGGTACCTGGGAACTCTCCCCAGGGTAGTGAAACTCTTGGTAAGCGTCACAAGATTCAGACCATGCAACAGAGTGAGCAAGGGAAAGCCATGAAAAGGAAGACGTTCTTGCCATCAGAGAGAGTTCACACGCAAGACACCTACAAGATGACCAGTGTCAATGTTGGAAAGACAACTCCGACAAGAAAGAAGACTTTTGGTAAAAGTGCTGACTTCCATAAGAATCCGCAAATCCACACGGGAGAGAAATTCCCCCAACACACTGAGCATGAGGAGCCTCTTGTTGACAAGTCAAAACTTCAAATAAATCAAAGGTTACATACAGGAGGAAAAAAAGACGGGAAAAATTTGAGTGGCAAAACCCTCTCGAACAAGCAGCACCGGAATCGCAGAGGGGAAAAGACGGCTAGGTCCAATAAATCTGGGAAGATCATGCATCAGGAGTCAGACCTCACTAGAAATCAGAAAATGAATAAAGTTGCGAAACCTCACAAATGCGATACATGTGGAAATACTTTTTACCGGAAGTCACGCCTCCTAGCACATCGGAGGGTTCACACAGGGGAGAAGCCTTTTGAATGTAAAGAGTGTGGAAAAACATTTGGCCAGAAGTCATATCTCATTAGACACCAGAGAATTCACACAGGGGAGAGGCCTTACAAATGTACCACGTGTGGGAAAAGCTTCCCTCAGCGGTCAAATCTTGCAATACACCTGAAAATTCACACGGGGGAGAAGCCGTACAAATGTAACGAGTGTGGAAAAGCCTTTTGCCGCAAGTCACATCTCCTAACGCATGAGAAAATTCATACAGGCGAGAGACCTTACGAATGTGTCAAGTGTGGAAAAACCTTTGGCCGGAAGTCCTCCTTCATGATGCATCAGAGAATTCACACAGGGGAGAAACCTCATGAATGCCCCGAGTGCGGGAAGGCTTTCCTGTGCACGTCTGACCTCATCAAACACAAAAGGGTTCACACGGGGGAGAGACCGTACCAGTGCGATGAGTGTGGGAAGGCATTTAGTCAGAAATCGATCCTCATAACGCACCAGAAGACTCACACTGGGGAGAAGCCCTATGAATGTCACGAGTGCGGAAGAGGCTTTCGACGGAATTCGGATTTCCTGATCCATCAGAGAATTCACACGGGGGAGGGCAAGCCCTACGAATGTAACCAATGTGGGAAAGCTTTTACCTGCAAGTCCTACTGCCGCGCACACAAGAGAATTCACACAGGGGAGAAGCCTTACGAGTGCCACGAGTGTGGGAAGTTTTTCAGACAGAGATCGGTTCTCGCTACACATCTGAAAATCCATGCAGGAGATAAGCCTTACGAATGCAGCGAATGTGGAAAAACCTTTGTTGACAAGAACCATCTCCTAAGACATCACCGAACGCACGAACGGCAGAAGCATGAATGTAAGCAATGTGGAAAATCCTTTTCTTACAAGGGACCCTTTATCATGCATCAGAGAATTCATGCAGGGAGAAAACCTTACGAATGTCAAAAGTGTGGAAAATGTTTTTACTACAAGTCAAACCTGATGACACACCAGAGAGTTCACAGAAAAGGGAATTGATGGATGTGGAAAGTGCAAAAGACTGGGCCTGGTGCGGTAGCGTAGTGTTTAAAGGCCTCACCTTGAATGTACCAGGATCCCATATGGGTACCACTTTGAATCCTGGCTGTTCTGCTTCCTTCTAGTTAATTAGGACACAAAGGTTCAAGGGCTAACGGGAAAGTGGGTAAGACTGTTGTAACAGTTCTGAATTGCTGCCAATCTCGCCATTCCAAGCACGAAGAAATCTCACTGGTTGACATAGTCCACCTTAGAGTCTCCATTTGCCTAGATTTTCACTGCCAACACATGGCTGGGGTAGTTGATTGATTTGTTCTGTTGTGGTGCCAGGTATCCTCTGTAAACCTGCCTTTCTAAAAAAAAAAATAAAATAAAAAAATTTTTTGAGACTTAACTAGAACTGACACCTTCTTTTGCAATAGGGAATTCCAACAGTGGAGAAACATTAAGAATGAATTAACGGTGGAGGGGGGGGGGCGATACTCTATGTAGAAACCTATATGATCAATGTGGTAAGGCCATTTGTTTGAAGTTAAGGCCCATATTTCAAAGATTTACACAGGGTAGAAGCTCCTAAATGTTTTGAGTGTGGCAGTCCCTTTGCCGGAAGTCCTCTGCAGGTTCCAATGGGCTGCCCTATCCTCCATGGGCACCTGGGTATGCTGTCCACTGCTCCGTCTGAGCCTCTGAGGAGGCTTGGCTCTGGCACTTGCACTCCATGGTAAGACCATGAAACCTGCGCTTCTCTTCATGGTTGGGGTTCTGAATCCGGCAGTTTGATTGGGGAGATCCCCGAAGAAACTTCATCTGAGGTGATCCCAGACCAGGTTCTTGAGTGTGCTTGCCAAGTACAGGGTCTGGCACAGTCCATCACCAATCAGCTGGTGGTTGCAGTTGCTGGGTCGCTTCTGTTTCCAGCCCTGTCTTCCACACGAACCAATGAATGTTACAGTCCAGCCTGATTCTGCCCAGCACACACTCAGCCCTCACACAAACCAGTGGGAGCTGCAGCCTAGCTGGGGTGACTTCCAATAACCCCCACCAAGCCGACCCGCTACCTTGGTTCCCATGCTTGCCAGTGGGAACAGACTAGTCCACAAATTAGTCCTGTTTGTCCCACATCCCATTTAGCTGTTGTATATGTCAATGGGCATTGAAACCTAGTTCAACTCAACCTGCCCCACTATCCAGCCCACACACATGCTGGTGGGTGCTATTCTGCCTAGCCACCCCTGCCCCAGTCCTGGTTTTCACGCTCTCCAGTGAGTGGTAACCCAAGAGGGGGGAGCCCACTATTTCCCTCCTAGGCCCTCTCTCCTGGATTATGCACTGTCCAGGTGGTTTTGCAGTTTAACTGGATAGATTAAGCTTCCAGTGCCAGCCTCTGCCAGCTGATGCTGTGGCAAAGCCCCACCAACCCTCACCCACTGATTCATGCTTGCAGCAGTAGGAATAGTCAACCTATCCTGATCCAGCTCACATGAGGCGCACAGGTGTTGTAGCCCTGCCCGGTCTGATCTGCCCCCATCCTAACTCATGATCTCCAGTGGGAGTGGTGGTACAGCAGGGGAGCTCTCCACATTGCCCCTACCAACATTTCCCTATTCCTCTTGGTTCTCAACGTGTGCTGGTTGGGTGCTGCGGCCCAGTCTGGCATGGCCCACCTTGCCTCAGCATTTGCCAGTGAGTGCTGTTGCCTGCACCGGCCTAGCCCACCTCCAATTTCAGCTCAGGCTGGTGGGGATTACAGCCTAACCCAGCCCAGCTGGTACCCAGTCCAGGACATTCTGTCAAGTACTAGGATCCAGCCCTGTTAGACAGGGCCCCAGCTCTAGCTTTCACATGAACTGGCATATAGTGGTCAGCATTGTTTGGTGGTAATAAGTCCTATACAGGACTCACATGTAGGCTGCTGTATCAGTCTGACCCATACAGATCATCTGGCTTCCCCCCTCCAAACCACCTAGTCCCATTGGCCCTGTCATTGGGAGTCCCTCAGGATTGACTCCTCACCAACATGCACAGTGGCCTCATTCATGGTTTTACCTAGGCAGAAATTCCACACCCCCAAGACCCCAAAGCTCTCCAAGTGACCGCAACAGCTGGGACTGAGCCAATCCGAAGCCAGGAGCCAGAAACCTCTTCTGGGTCTCCCACACGGGTGCAGGGTCCCGAGGCTTTGGGCCGTCCTCCACTGCTTTCCCAGGCCACAAGCAGGGAGCTGGATGCAAAGCGGTGCTGCCAGGACTAGAACTGGCACCCATATAGGATCCCGGTGCGTTCAAGGTGAGGACTTTAGCAGTTAGGCCACCACGCAGATCCTCTCTGCTAACTTCTGCTACCCATTCTCTCAACTCCTCCAATCCCCACGGTAGTCAAGTGACTCTGATTGCCCAAATATAAGAACGGCCAAGAGTTAGAGACCAGATGCCAAGCACAAGAACTCTTAACTAGCGCAAGATGAGAATTCACAATGGTGCAGCCAAGAGGGAAGCCAATTCGGCAACTTCTTAATAAAACTGAACTTATGCTTAGCCTGCAAATTCGCTCCCCCACTCCCCACCACGAGGTTCATTGGTTCCATGGTTTGACTCTGCTTCTGAAGAGGAAGGGGTACAGTCCTATATCCTACACCCACACCCCAGGATGGGCACCTGTGACAGGGAAGGATGACGAACCTGGAAGTGAAATGAGGAAAGAATGGGTCCACCCCAAGTCTCCGTCAAGGGTCCTTGGCACAAATTGGTGGCTCATCTGGTATCTGTTGAACAAGTGGTATTAAGGCCTGGGGTCACGAAGAACGCATCATGAACTAGGACACCTGTGCTCAGCCAGAGAGGCGCTCAATATATCCAACCCAAGAGTCACGAACTACACCTCCACCCCTCCACCTCCATCTTTGCTCTCCACTAACCCACATGGCCCCACTGCCAAGGTCCACCCCCGCTGGTTCTTGGCAAGGCTCAGACAGAGGACACAGCACAGTTTATTCCAGAATGTGCAAAGGGGAGGTGGGTCGGTGGGCTCAAAGGGGCTCCAAAGCGTGGCCCCACAGGGGTCACTGTCCCTCGACCAGCGGCTCCACCCGCAGCCACAGCCCGCCATCCGCACGCAGGATGAGCTCCGGCTTGCGACTCGGCTCAGCACTGTCGGGCAGGATGCGGAAGCGCAGCAGCGTGAGCGCCAACACCACCTTCATCTCGGCCATGGCGAACGCCTGCCCGATGCAGTTCCTGCGGACGGGGAGAGATGCGTACTGCGCCCTGAGGACCTCGGACTGGGATCCTCGTCCCACCCTGACCAGTCGGAGGGACAGACATGGGGGTGCCCCTTCTGGGGATAACCAGGTAAGTTCCGTTTCCCCACAGACTCCATTCCCTGGTAGACTGGTAGACGGGAAGGGCATTCTGAAGGTTCCAGGACCACCATCCGGGCCATGTGGGTCCTGTGCCTGAACCAGGGCACTGCTGGGAACTCCTGGGGGCTACACAGCTCCCCGACCTGGCCCTGACTCAGGCCCCAGCACACACCAGCTAGGGGCTCTGCGTGCACATCAGACCCGTCTTGGACCAGCTCCTGGAGCCCCAGGCTTCACGCTGGCATCCAGGCAGGGGAGGAAGGAATGCCTGCAGCGCCCATCCTTGCTTCCTGCCCCACCATCATGCCCTCATCCCTGCCCCGGTCTCACTCTGCCCGGCCTCACATGGCACTGCCCTCACCTGGGCCCTGCTGAGAAGGGGATAAAAGCCAGGGGCGACCTGTCCTTGACTTTCTCTGGCTCGAAGCGGGAGGGATCATAGACCTGGAGGTGAGAGGGGAAATAGGGTTGCCAAGTGGGGTTCCCCCAGTAGAGCTGGCCTCGGAGACAGCAGCTGTGACATCGCTGACTCAACCCCTGCCCCTCCTCCCTCCAGGACCCCTGGCATGATCAAGGGGTCAACCATTGCATTGTTCAAGGGTGGAGGTGGGGACAGGAGGCAGCACCTCGGGGTCCGGCCACACAGTTGGATTGTGGTGGGTCCCAAAAATGCTGATGAGGCAGATGATTCCTGTGGGAGGAGATGGGGCATTCAGGTCAAGGTCCCTTGCCTAGTGGGCCCTTTCCTGACCAAGAGGAGCCTCCCCCCTGATATGCGGGCACCTTTGGGGATGACGCGGCCGTCCGGGAGTGGCACATCCTGGGTGCAGCGGCGGGAGATGACCGTGACGGGAGGATGTAAACGCAGGCTCTCCTTAATGCACATGGTCATGTAAGGCAGCTGGGCCAGGTCATCCCTAAGGAAGCGCCCGGACCATTACCCAGGGAGCAACGTGGAGTCCGCCAGGCTCCCATTGTGAGACCTTTTCTCTCTTTCTCAAAATTAACTTTAGGTGGACCAAATATCTGAGCTTGGAAACGCAGAAAAAAAAATATAAAGAGAAAGACAGACGTTGAGAGAGACACCACGCTGGAAAAAATTATTATATATGAGAGAAATATAGCCTGGGAGAGCAGCAGAATATGGCCCAAATTCTCAAGCCCTCGTACCCACATGGACAAGCTGAGGCAGCTCTCGGCTCCTAGCTTCAGAACAGCCCAGCTCTGGCTGTTGCAACAACAACAAAAAAATCTCTCCTTTTCTCTCTGTTTGTTTTTTTTTTTAAGATTTATTTTCTTTTTATTGGAAAGTCAGATATACAAAGAGGAGGAGAGAGAGAGAGGAAGATCTTCCATCTGATGATTCACTCCCCAAGGGACCACAAAAACCGGTGCTGCACCGATCTGAAGCCAGGAGCCAGAAAGCTCTTCTGGGTCTCCCACACGGGTACAGGGTCCCAAGGCTTTGGGCCGTCTTCCACTGCTTTCCCAGGCCACAGGCAGGGAGCTGGATGGGAAGTGGAGCTGCCAGGATTAGAACCAGTGCCCATATGGGATCCTGGCACATTCAAGGTGAGGACTTTAGCTGCTGGGGGGCACCGGGCTGAGCTCAGCACTGTTACACCTGCTCCCCACTCTCTCTCCCTCGCCCAGGCTGATCTATAATATTGTGCCCACCACCACACTCAAGTGTCTAGGGCTCTCCTTATGAGATACATCATTTTTCGGTAGTCTTGTTTCTTAACTTTTTTTTTGCCACTCCTACCTGTGACAACTGGGAGTGTCCTAACCTGCTATTGTTTTCCCCCACCAGACTAGGACCTCCTGGAAGAGAGGTCCCTGGTCTGGGAACAGAGTTGGGGCTGGGAAGTGTGTGTGCGTACTTGATGGATGAATGTTGCATGGGTCTCCCCACCAGTTCCCTGTGAATCCTTGCCTAGGAGAGTACGGTAGAGATTCAACTTCGGAATATCATTGAGGAGGTGAAGATGTTTGCGAGAAAGGTGACTTGAGGGAGGGCAGGAAGGGATTATCAAGAAGATTTCATCTACAAAACTTGTGTTGCGTCTGCTCATCTTCTCACATGTGCTCACTCATTCTCACAGCACTCCAGATCTTTCTGTCCCCAAAGCCCACAGTTCTTCCCCCACCAGCCAGAAAGGGCAACCAGTAATAATGGCAGAATCAACGTGCCCTTGCCTCCTTTGCCCAACTTGAGTCACTGATCCAGTGCGAAGGGCTCATGGGCAGGCTTGGAGGGCCTCCACTCACCACTCAATCTCTTCCGGTTTCCGGTCCTTGACGAGCTCTCTCACTTCCTTCCGGCAGCGCTCCTGGTATTCTGGATGCTTCGCGAGATTGTACAGGATCCAGGAGAGACCACTAGCTGTGGTGTCATGGCCTGAGGGACAGCCAGTATGCTTGGACCTCTGGCCGCTTCAACCCCAGGGGACAGGCAGTGCCCGTGCATACGAGCCTCAAGGAGAAGCAAAAGAGGGGGGTACGGAATAATCCAGGACCCACCCACCCCATCCCTAGGAACTTAGTATCTGTTTCCACTCCAGTTCACCTGGGACCCTCACCCTCAAACATGAAAGTGTCTGCCTCTGCCCTTACGTCTTCATCTGATAACGCCTTCCCATCTTCATCCTGAAAACATAAAGCCCCCATAATCACAACAGTTCTGAGAGCTCCCGAGTCTTACAGATGCTGTGTACACCCAGCAATTCCAGCCCACTGGGCACCCCGAAGTCTCTCTTGATAAACAGCACAGGAGACCCAGCCCTCAGGCCTCCTAGGACCCTCTGACTACTGTCTGTCCTTGGCGAGCGGGTTCCACGATCTGTCAGTATTGCACCATTTCTCCATGGTCTCACGTACAATGGTACATGAAGATTGGATGTCAATTTGCCTTGGAAGCTAGGGGTCCAATGTTGCTCCCAAGATGTGAACTCACATTCCAAGCTGGAGATCCAGCAAGTCTTATCTATCTTTTTACAGGGATTTTGCTTGGTAGTCTACAGACTACCAAGAATCTGTTTATATTCCAGAACAAAGCTAAGCTCCCCCTCAACCCTCGGAGGGACAAGTAAGGGGCAGAGGTACCAATTGAGACTCATACTGTGGGGGCCCTTCTATTCTGGGCAGGTTTTGCTGGACTGACAGGCCAAAGTTTTGCATTGTCTTGGATGGAAGGTATTTGGGAATGGGGAGTGGGTGCAATGAGCCTAACAGTCGTGATTGCTATGAGCAAGAGGCAGGTTGCTCTAGCCCAGTGCTTTTATGCTTCTGTCAGCAGAGGGATGGGTACACATTGTCTGGAGACAGGCACATATTTGGATACAGATGTAAACTTGGAGAGACTACGTGATGAACTTGTCCATAGAGTAAAAACGCAAAGTCTTCTACATGTCAGACTTCGCAGCCGCCGATGCCTGTGTCCCAGGATCAGCTCTGAGATGTGCCTCTGGTTGCCCTCTCCTTTGGCTAACACCATCCAGGTCCTTCTATCTGACCTCAGGCTACCTCCTGAACGGAGACCCTTGGGGAGCCCACCCTGGTCAGCAGGAGCACGTCAATGAAATCCAAAGTCTTCGTCTTGGCCTTGGCCTTGAGGAAGTTCTCAATGTCTAGACGAGGGAGGGTGTGGCGTCGCTCCTGGATGACGGCGTCTGTGAAGTCGTGCACCAGGCGGCAGGCCCTGTGGAAGCGCTGTCCGTCAGAGGTGAGAGAGTACAGGCGGTCCGGGTGTATGAGGATCTGCTGTTGCCTTCTGGCCACCAGGGCACTGAGTTCCAAGATGGCGGCAATGTATTCACTGGGCTTCCTGGAGGATGAGGTCGCGAGGAGAAGCAACAAGTGAATACACCCGACCTCTGGTGTGCAATAACTCCCCCAGATTCCAACTGCCACCTCCTGCCAGAGATGGAGTGCCCAGAATTAGCCCCATGTACACCACAGGGACAAGTGTGAGATGTGCTTCTGCAAACTCCCCCTGCATCCCACCTCGGCATCCTGCCTCTGTTTCAGGTGCCCAGAGCCCGGTGAGAACATTCTTCCCTCTTCTTTCTCTTCTGCCCAGTATCTAGTCCTGCCTCCTCTCCTCTTGAAATCACCCACACAGTAGAGATGTTGTCTTCTGACTAGCCCCAGCCATGCCTCATGGCCTGCCATGTCAAGATCCATTGAGCATCTACGAGACAGTCAGTTTTGACCAAGCCCATAATTAGCTCAGACCCTTCTAGCACTCCCTGGAAACCTCAGCATAAACTTTATACCATTTGACTGTTAAAAGTCTTAACAATCTAGGCACTGACCCCCTGTCATCCACAGGTCCAATGAGTTTCTTTACTTCATGCTGCTCATTCCAGTTCCTTTGCCTTCCTTCAAGCATTTCTACCCATCTGGAAGGACCATTATTCCTCTCTCCCCTTTTCTGTATTTCAATGCCTATATAGGATCCATTTCTTCCAGGAAGCCTTCCCTGATTGTTGGTTTGTCCTCTCCCCACCACCTTCTCTCTTGGGCCCTTGACCCAAGTTCCCCATGTCCCGAGCAAGCACTCACTCCTGACAGTTGCTGTCGTAGCTGAAGACGCATTTCTGCAGACTGTCCAGGGTCATGAGGCTGATGTGCTCAAACATGTCCACACGGGTGCTCCCCTCAGAGGCCAGGCGCTGCCACTTCGCCTAGCCAGAGAAGAAGACAGAACTGGGCTGAACTCTGCTCCCACAAAGCGCCTTCTCAATCCCAATCTGCTAGAATCAGCTCTGTTCCTGTGACCCAGGTATCCAACCCCAGGGAAGATCAACCTAGAGTGAAAGTGAAAACCATCATTATGACAGCGAAATACCCAAAGCTCAGAATGAAGAGACCTCGCCTGAGCACCAGCTCTGTCTCTGATGCCTTGGACATGCTTGGTGAGGTCATTGCCCTCCGCTGAATGCCATCTGTCAAGTCTTCAGCAGCAGCTACGTTGACCTGGAGTGTGGAATCCATCAAACTGATGTCAGGCTCGCTTATTTTGCTGCGTGAACTTGGAGCTCACTAACCTATCTGATCAGAGGTTCTATCATCCGTATAATGGGCAGATCCCAGAGCACAGGCACTTGTCATCATCATTTCTGTCACACAGCGAGTGCTCAGTCACTACTAGGTCTCCTCATCTACAGTGCAATTTTGGAATTTCCAAAATATCCACCTGTGGGGAAAGTTTGTTCTCCGTGACACCTGAGCATCCTGGTGAATGTGTGTCAGGCATCCTACCCCCTGCCATACTTAGCAAACAAAACTGAGGACTCCCTTTTACTTGCTATAAAAATAGACTCCCTCACCCGAATTTTTCTCCCATAAAATACACCATGCCACGTGAGCAAGCATCCCTTAAATGACAGTGTGACATGGGTGTATAGGTGGCTGTGAACCAAAAGTCAACACATACTACTAACTGTATCGTAAGCAATAAACAGGACCATCTATGACCCAGGAGCCTCATGTTATGAATATTTATAAGCTAAATTGTATGCTACCAAAAATATCCTAGGCACTTTGCAAAAGTTTTTCTCACAAGTCTTTCACGTCTCCATATAAACGCACACTCTTCCCAGTACGATCTCATTGCAACCTCAGCTTAAGAAATTGTCTCCCCTTGATTCTGTGCTGGACTTTTAACTTTTTCTTTGGCCAATAAAACATGGTGAAAATGGTAGAACAATAAACTCCAACAAACCCAAGCCACCCCATGCTCCTTTACATCTTGTCTCTGCCACGCAATTAAGTCCTAGAGAATCTCACATGGAGCAAAGTCCAACTGTCCCGGATCAACCGAAAGCCAATATAGCTACAAACAGGCGAGATAAGCGAGCCAGCCTCAGGACAGTTGCTCCTGAACCACAGCTTACCACGCACCACGAAGGATGCCAGCCACAGCAGAAAACCCAGCCAAATGACCTATAGACTTATGGTTTAATCATATATCTGCTTGGATTGAAAACTACGAGCTGTGAACAGTTTGCAACTCAGTCATAGCTACTATGAGAACCTCAACATGAATGACTTGGGTCTAGGAGATAGACTGACCTAGTCTGTGTATCTGTGTTCCAGGGATGTGATTTTTAAAAAATGTAATTGATTTATTTGAGTATCAGATAAAAATAACGGATAGGGATGGACAGACAGAACTCCTGGCACCTGCTGGTGGCTGGGCTTGGGCTGAGACTGAACCTTGAAGCTGTAGACTCAGTGTAGGTCTCCCTTGTAGGAGTTCCAGGGAGTCAAGCAAAGGGTCCAAGCACAAGGAAACCTGAAGGCAGGAACCAAATTGGTTCCTGGTGCAAACCCAGAAATTCTTTATTTGAGGTCAGAGTCATTATCCTCATTACAGAGATGAGAAAAGTGCAGAGAGAAAGAGAGAGAGAGAGAGAGAGAGAGAGAGAGAGAGAGAGACAGAGAGAGAGAGAGAATGGTGCTAGAGCCAACCGGACTCGGTATGTGTACCTATGAGCTCCCAAGAATCCCTCTGGGTCCTTTGCCTTAAAGCACTTACATGCATAACATTTGCACTCTTGTTGAAAATCTTCATGTAGGGCTTCAGGATATTGAAATGGAAGGCGGGCGTCAGCATGTGGCGGTGGCGGCTCCACTTGCCCCCGGTGCTCAGCAGAAGCCCGTCCCCTGGCAGGCAAGAAGACAAGAGCAGAAGACAAGGCCATCATCATCATCCACTCCACCTGAACTCCCAAGGTTGGCTTCAGCCGCCCACCTCCAGTTACTCACCCAGCCATGGCTTCAGGAAGCTGTAGAAGATGACATCCTTGGGTGCAAAGGCCGCTGACGTGGAAGATGAGCGCCAGGGCCGTGAGAGAGGAGGAGAGGGGTTCTGGGTAAGGGTGGAGGCTCTCCACATGCATGTCCCCCATCCAAACTCAGCCTCGTAGGAAGGGGCCAGGTGCAGAGGATGCAGGGACGCATGAGGGAATTGAGCCGGCTTCAGCAGCACAGTAGAACAAAGAGATACCATATACACAACTTGCTCCATCATGATGCTCCCTCACGCCACAGCACGTCCCTCGTGCTCCGACGCGTCCTGGACAGCACTGCCTTCAACCAACACTCCTGAGTGGATCTAGATTGTGTTTTCTGCCCCCCCCCCCCAGCGCTCTCTGATATCTCTCAACATACAAGTGGGACATGCGACATGGCCCCAACACTTCCTGACATGTCCTGATAATGTTCACTGTATGTATGTCTTGCTCAGGCATGACATGTGCTCTGACATGGCCTCAACACGCCCCCATGGACGGGATTTAAATATAATCCCCGGAACGTCTTAGGTGTGATCCAAGTATGTCCCAGTGGGGCCCCATATACATTAGGATCTTAGAAAAGAAGCCGAACAAATCTCAGATGTTTCACAAAAGCAATCTGAGCTTCAGACCTCATACAAGTCCTGTAGCAATTATGAACCATGTCTCAGGTAGGAACTTGTCGTGACCCCCATGCGCCTGGCCAGAGCTGAACCCCACACATGACCATCTGCTCATTCTCCAGCGTAAGCACACCACCAGCTATAAATGTAAAAATGGTGCAATGCAACACACTGTGACACACGGCAGCCACAAGCAGACCCCCGGACATAACCATGCACGATCGGAAGTCAAACAGGTGGATGTACAGGTGAGGCAGAGAGAGAGGTAACTGAGCAGGTGATCTGCCCAACCACAGGCAACACAGAGACCACAGCAGCAGGAAGCCAGTGACCAATGCACCATCTACCTGGGACAAAGAGAACAGGCTGCATACAGGTGGGGTAAAAGGTGCAGGTAACTGCATTCCAGGGCCCCCCACACCAGCCCCTCTCATCTCCTAAGGTGTACACCAGGCCCTGGGTGTGCAGGAGCCCTTTCTCTGAGCTCTACATCTGCACAACAAACAAGACCAAATGCAGGCTCTTCTAAGCTGCCAGAGAAGGACCGGCGTCCAAGGACCCAGACACTTGGTCCACCCACACGAAACAACCATGCAGATCCTGACTCAAGGCGCTAAGAACTCCACATCCAGAGACAAGCTGCTTGGTGCTTCCTGAACAACAGCCCTGGGGACCCTTGTTCCTCCAGGGGCTGGGCAGTCAGGGTCCCAGTGATGGGCTGGGTAATCAGGTGAAGATAATTTACCCAGATGACAGGTCATTAAGAGGAAAGAAGAGGCCCCAGTCAGAACTGAGCTAGACTCATCATGGGCACCATCATGAAGAGGCCGCTCCGAAGGGCAACATGGGTTGGACAAAGACAAAAGCAAGAGAGGCAGGCAGGTGCCTGACAACAGTATTAAAGTCCAGGAACCGGGTATTTTGAAGACTGTCTTTCCTGGCCTTCATGGTCAATGGCTCCTTCTATTCATCCAGCACACACGGCATGGAGTTCCCACGGCTTACAGTTTAAACACGTCATCAGTCAGAGGGAATGGGGGTCCGCCACACATTTTAGTGACAAAGTCACACTTTCTGCGGGAGAGAAAAAGGGGCCAGGATGAGGTGGCACCTCTTAGGGGAGACCTGCAGCAAGAAGCCAAAAACACATACAGTGGCCGTGTCAAAGGATCCGACCACCAGAGTTGGCTGTCACCAGATGAGCAGTCCAGAACCTCCACCAGCCACAAGTCCTTCTAATTTCTCTTAGCCTGAGCCCAGACAAAAAAATGACCATCATATGCGACTCAGGTCCACCACACCAGTCCAGATCCAGCTGCTGCTGCAACTGCTGCAACTGCTCTTCAAGGACATCTTCCAACAGTACTCAAAGAAACATTGGTCCTTGTCAAATTCCAACCGCATCACTCATTGCACGCGAACACACACACCGATCTCACCAACACTGGGGAGGGGGAGAGGGATTCTTCCTGCATTAGGCACTGGATTGAGGCCTTCAGGGATTTCCAGAAGTGCTCAATACTGCAAGACAGCGATCAGAAGTCCATGGAAGGAGGAGATAGTGATGGCAGAAAAGAAAGATAAGCTAAGAGAAGAGAAAGGGAGCCAGCTCCTTGCGGGTAGATGGACTTGGTAGATGTTGGATACGCCACAGTGCCCACCGCCACAAGCTCCACCCGGGTACCTGAGGCATTCAAGACAGGTCGGACAATGTCAGGGTGGCACAAAGTAATGAGTGGGATGACGGGGCCCAGCCAGCTCAGAAAGCCCTGGGGGTAGGTGGTGACCAGCCGTGTCACTTCTCTCAGGCCTTGTTCCGTGGGGGGGACCTGCAAGCAAGGTAAGGGTTGTCACCTCCTGGGGTGGCTCCACACTTTCCCTCCATTTCCATTTGACAGGGCTGAAAGGTTCCCAGGGGGCTAGTAGGACATGGTTTCTGAGGCTGTGCCACTAGGATGCTCCCAGGAGAGATTAGCATGTGTGTGCATGAGCACCCTAAGGTCCCCAGGCACCAGTGCGGGTGAGCACCTGCCCCCCAAGGACCCAGCGAGAACAGGCAGAGGAGAGACAGGCTCGCTGTCTTCAGGAGGTGGACACCACGTTCTGTCCTGGGCCACCAGCACTGTGGATTCTGGGGCCTTTGGGGTCAGCAGATACACCCTCAGTTGAAACTCTGGGTTCTTCACAGGGTAGGGGCTGGGTTCAATTACACTATTGGTTTCCCTAGTCGCCAGCAGTGACAGTGATGGGAATTCCTGGCTTCCTTCCTGGTGTGAATCAATTCCGATAACATAATCCGTATTTGATAGACAAAAGATAGATGGATAGATAGATAGATAGATAAAGAATCCTTCCCCATTTATGTCACAGATTCTTTTTTAAGATTCATTTATTTTTTATTGCAAAGTCAGATATATAGAGAGGAGGAGAGACAGAGAGGAAGATCTTCCGTCCAATGATTCACTCCCCAAGTAACTGCAACAGCGCCGATCTGAAGCCAGGAGCCAGAAATTTTCTCCAGCTTTCCCACATGGGTGCAGAGTCCCAAGGCTTTGGGCCGTCCTCCACTGCTTTCCCAGACCACAAGCAGGGAGCTGGATGGGAAGTGGGGCCGCCAGGATTAGAACCGGCGCCCATATGGGATCCTGGTGCATTCAAGGTGAGAACTTTTGCCACTAGGCCATCATGTTGGGCCCTTGTGTCACAGACTTAACCAACAGTGAATCAAAAAATGTTTGAAAAAAAAAAGCAAGCATTTTAGTTCAAGGATGGACTCACAGCAAAATGACTGATAATCTCGTACATTGTTGGGGATTTTACCTCAGTGGCAGCATTGTGCACTTGCACAAATTCACTGTAAGGCTGGAGGGGAGGCAATTTAGAGAAGAGGAAGGGAGACCCCAGTGCCTATTAAACTGTCATAAAATAATAACCAAAAATAATGGGGCCTCAAAAAAAAAAAAAAACCCTCTGCATTTTACTTGACATGTAAAGCTTTGTTTTCTCATGGTTCTCTGAAAAATACATCATGACAACTATTTACACGCGTCCTACCTTCAATTTGATGAGTCATGGGGAGACGGTTTCAAATCTGTGGGAGGAATCTGGTCTCTAGGCAAACACCACCCTGCTTAATCAAGGGACTTAATCAAGTGTCCATGAATCTGGGTGTGGGTAAGGCGGTCTGCAACGACCCCTAGTGGACACACAGCAGACATGCAGGTCCATCTACACTGTGGCCATTCTCTCTCTGCAGAAGCCCAAGGCCCCTCCGAAGGGGACACAGCAGGGGCTTCTGCAGGAGCCAGAGGTGGCACAGCATCTGCCCTGGGCAGCACGGCTGGACCCCAACCATAGAGGGAATCGCTGCTTCTCCTGCCCCTCCTCTCTCAGAGCCATCTCTAAGTCAGCAGGGCGAGTCCCAGGCAGAGGGGTGTGAACTTGCTGTCTGCCCAGAGGGGTCCACCTCGGCTCAGAAGGATGGGTTTGCTCAACCAAAGGAGGGTCCCAGCTCGGGGGCAGGCACAAGGGGATGTGCTCTGGGGAACAACATTTCTGGGCTTGAGTCTATTTTTGCATGCTCTTGTGTCCTGCCTGGTCTTTGGGGTCTGCAGTCCCTCCTAGGGAAGGGTCTGTACACTGCGGACCCCAGGGAGCAGAAGTGAACCCTGCTGTCCTTGAGAACCGTGGCTTGCATCTGCGGGCACCCTCTGCTCACCAGGGTCTGTGCTGAAGTATGTCCTGGGCACCCTCACCCTGACCTCTGCCCACACCCCTGGGAATACCACGTACAGGTGAGGCCACAGCGACCCAAAGGGGAAAGCCCCGGAAGAGAGAATCCACTATCCACCCTCACTCTGTTGTACAACAGGGCTCTGGGGTGGGTCTTAAGGAGGAAAGAGCGAGAGAGAGGAAGTGCCTGGAGAGCAGAGACACTGAGAGATGCCCACACCTCTGCCCTGGTCCAGCTGTGCCCCCACTGTGTGTGCAGATGGAGGAGTCACAGCTCATCCCTGTGGAACCACGGCTGCCAGACATGAGCAATCACAAACTAATGGACGGAACACAGAGCAGGCCCTGGACACGCCCCTGAAGCAGTGCACAATGCAGCAGCGGAGAAGGTGCCCACCCATGGACACCCCCCAGCTACCACACTGTCTGCTACCACACTCACCTGTCCCATATGGCCCAAGAACCAATTCCGTTTGGGAGGCTGTGGGAAACATTGCAGGCGGCGAGAATTTTGTTGGAAAGCATAGGCCCAGTTGAGGCTGCGTGCCAGCAGCCAGGAGGTCGCGATGAGCAGCAGGAGCAGCCACGGGGAGGCGGCCCCTGGGACCAGGTCCAGCCAGGACAGGCTCAGCTGGGACATCTGCCCTGGAGCAAGTGATGGAGCTGTCAAGACCTGGGAAATGAAAGCGGGAAAGAAAGAAGCTGGGATATGGAGTGCTGGGGACAGGGCAGGGAGGTCTCAGAGGAGGATGGAGACTTCGGGGTTAAACGGCGGGAGAAGTGGAGAAAGAGAGAGAAATGATGGAGGAAGAGAGAGAAAGGGAAGGAGAGAGAGAGAAAATGTGATGTGCAGAGAGAACTTCAACGGTCTGCAGTTACCCAAAGCCTCTCGTCTCCTGGGCGGGCTGCTCCCTGGAGCTGCCGAAGTCCAAACCAAGTCCGTGTCCCGCCCCTGCCCCATCCCCGCCCCCAGATCCAGGAACAGGCTGGCACCTTGTGTCAGAAGCAACTTGTCCCCAGCAATCTCCTCTTAGGACCAGCTGGAGGTTTAGCGGTTTAGCCCAGGTTCCCTCTCTTAGAGAAATGTTTAGGACCAATCTGAGCTGGGCAGGCTGGGCACGGCTGTGCACCTCTGGGCACGGCTGGGCATGGCTGGGCTGCAGCCACCAAACCCTGCAAACCTGGCTGTCTCCTCCCAGCCCTGGGTTCCAGTCAACATGTGACAGTGGAGACAGTTGGGTCCAAAGGAACCAACTCAGGCCACAGAGCCCTTGGCAATGTCTCCCTCGGAGACCGGCTGCAAACAGGTGCAAAGGTGACTGCCCGTTCCCTTTGCAGGCCAGGGTACAGAGAAGCAGCTGATGCCGATGTGGGCACCATCAGATGATACATACATTGTCGCCCGAGCTCCTCAGCAGGTGCAGGCTGCGGGGACATCGGACACCTTCTGTCAGGGCACAGTTAGGGGAGACAGAGTCCTCCGTCCTCATGACCCCCATCTCCCTTCCCGAGGGAAGGTCAAGTGCAGGCTCCAGGCAGCCTCGGGCTGGAGACACCTCGCAGGATGCGGGATGATGGAGGAGGGACTTAGGAAACAGGGCAGATGGGGGCCGTGCTCAGATGATGGCGTCCAGGTGGAAGAAGGCAGAGCCAGAGGACCAATGGACTTGTTATTATTATTTTTTTTTTAAATTTTATTTTTTATAATGATTACATGGTAGATCAGGGTGGGAAGGATTGAGGTTTAGGGAAAATTGGGTGCATGCATTGCTTTCAAATTTGCTATTTTTTTAATATTAAGTATTTCATTTGCTGCTGACAGTGTGTATAAAAGAATTACCATTGTGAAATAAAAATTTATGAAACCACAGAGAGGCAGGTGTTAAGAAATGACAAATGTCGAAGTGTGTCTTTAAGGCACATGTGCTAAAGGGAAGCTTTCTGTAGTTCTCTTCAATGAATATTCACCGATTAATGAGAAGCAGTTCAGGTGCCGTCTGCTCATTTGACTACAGAAAGAAACAGCCTTTCTGGGGTCTGAAGGGATTTGCACTTGAAGATGCTCCAGTCGGTAAGGGATCACCCAGCAGACAGAACCGGTTCGAGTCTACAGACACCTGCGCGCGGCTGAGGTCGGCCTTCAGCCAGGACGGTTGAACCACTTTCCTCATAGCAGCAACGCTGGAGGAATCAGACGTGGCACAGGCACAGAAGAGCCCGACTTTGCGGAGTCTTCTCATTGTTCCTGGAGGAAGGGAAGAGACCATGGGGGAAGCCGCTCACGACTTTCCACACATCCCAGTATCCAGGGATGAGGAACCGCCACTGCACATCAACGCAGAGTCTCCATGCGTACGTATCCCGAGGGTTCTGTCCAAGTGGTTTGGATAGTTCTGGAACGCTGTCCGTTTCACCAATCTAAGGATGTCACCCTCCCCATGTCCGTTGGCTCCATCCGTTGAGATTTTTTGCTGTCATTGTTTATTTGGGGTAGCTATCCAGCTAGTTATGTTTCAAATGAGCTGCCATATTCTCCTTTTTCAACAGGGTCTGTGTCCACTGCTCCACCTTTCTCGTTAAGTAAGACATGTTTTTGCATGCGAGTCCAAGGACCCAGGCCAGGCAACCCAAGTCCCACCGGTTCCCCCATTCCTGGGGCTCAGGAACCCATCCCCAACCACACATGTGGGCCCCAGGACCTGAGCCAAGCTACCCAAGCCCTGTCAGATCCCCCTGTACCCGGGACTCACGAATCCAGCCCTCACTAGGTCCAGGCTGGCATGACTCACCTCACTTCAGCATCCGCAATCTTATTGCACAGCCTGGCCTAGTTCGATCTGCCCCCTCTTCCAGCTCCTACTGGTGGGTGCTGCAGCCTATGCCAGCCCAGCCTGATTGCTGTCCCGGTCCTCATGTGAACTGGCTGGTGTTGCGGCCTGATCTGGCTCCTCCTGCCCCCCGCTCTGGTTCTCATATCTGTCAGTGGGTGTTATGTGCTGGCCCAGACAGGTCTGCCCCTAGATCTAACCCACATGTACGCCAGCGGGTCCTGTAGCCAGGTGTGATCTAGGCTGCTCCTTGCCTTGCGTCCCAATGAAGCTTCCCAAGTTCCTCCATCGAGGCTCCACCCAGTGGCAGTTCTCACGCACACCAGTGTTGACTTTGTCCATCTCCTGCCCTGGCAACAACAGTGCCCTTGCTCGGCCAGCCACACCCATTCTGGCTCTTGTTGGTTGTTGCAGCCCAGCGCTACCTGGTTCTCACCCAGACACAGCTTTCACGGAGTTCAGTAGGAGTCGAGACTCAGCCTGACCTGTTGTACACCCAATCTGGCTCTCACGAGACCCAGTGGGGACTGGAGTCTAGCTCAATCTGATGTTCCACGTTCCCAGTTCACACCCACACCAGGGCAGGCTGTAGCCATGTCCAGTCAAGCCTGCCACCTCAATCCTGCTCTTGTCCTCACCAAAGGGTATCCCAACCAAGTTGGGTCACCCCCTTAGCTTCCCTGCCTAGCCTGACCCTATCCACAGTTCTTGGGCGAGTCAGCAGAGACTGGATGAGCCAGTCTCCTTGGGGTGAGCCCACATTGCCCACACAGATTCTGCTATCAGGCCCACTTTTCTCACTCTCACTCCCCTCCAAACCAATTTGCTGTCAATCCCTTACTTATATGTACATGCCATGGACTTGTCTATGGAAATCCTGTAATTCCTAAGCTGGGCATAACAACCACAGGTCATCTCTTACTACCACCTGTGGGATCCCATCATCCCGCCCTGTAAATCAAGACCCTTCAAACCGCGAGGGTGGGCAGGGCTTCGCCCAGTGCCTTTGGCGCCTGGGCCACCTGGGCCCTTCACGGTGGAGCCACGCAGCCTGGCTATAGGTACCCAAGAGGGTCGAAAACAATAATTACTTTCAGGATGGGGTGTTCAAGAATTAGACTTCAACAAAGGGGGTTATTTTTGGCCCAAAGGCATTTTGAAATTCTTGCACAGCACTCCACAATTATGGAGTCCTTGGAATAGAACAAAACATATTATAGGCACCATGGCTACCATCGCACCTGCAGGCTCATGCTGCACGGTGGGGCTGTGCATTGCTTGGGCAAGAGGGTCTGCGGACAAGTCAGAAGAGGGCCTGTTTGACATTTATTGGGTGATTCTGGAGGCTTCTCTAGGCCAGCAGGTCATTGGAGGGTGGGGTGAGGTGGAATGGGGGTACATCTGATGGTGCAACTTGGGGATCTCCCTGAGTCAGACGAAGGCACATGCCAATACGTAGAAGCCATGCTGGTGGCAGAACAGACTGGGCAAGGCTGCACCATCTGCCACCATGCGTAAAAACTGGGGCTAGTGGCGGGCCATGCCAGTCCAATCTGGAGCACCCACCAGCACATGCAAGAGCCAGGGTAGGGATTATTTGGCGCGTCCCTTATTAAGTCGCAGCACCCACCAGGGCACAAGAGAGCTGGGGCAGGGGTGGGCAGGGGTGGGCTAGGCTGCAGCACCCAATGACATACACTAAAGTTGAGGTCAGAGATGAGCCAGACTGGAGTAAACCACTGCATCTGGTGAATGTAGTTGGGACTGGGAACATACTAGTCTAGGCTAGGCTGCAGCACCCACCAGGGCACACAAGAATTGGACACAGTATTGGGTAGGGTGCCAGGCTAGGCCATAGCAACCAGCAGCGCACACAAAAGCTGGGGCTGGGGATGGCAGGGGCAGGCTAGGTGATAGCAGTTGACGGTACACACGAAAGCTAAGGCTGGGAACAGGCCAGGCTGACTAAGCCACAGCACCCACTGGCTTATATAGCCCACAGCTCAGGAAGAGAGGCAGTCTGTCTTCCTTGCTCCCCCTGCTCAGAGCTTTCTCCTCCACTGAGTCTTCATAGGTCCGCCTCTAAGGCCATCATCCCAAACTCCACTTTTCTGATGGGGAGACTACGACCAGGTGGCACAGGACATGGGCAGAGCAAGGGCAGGATAGAATGAAGAGTCCACTCAGCGTCTCCTGCATCTGCCCTCCTTGTATTTCAGCCTCGTCCTCTCCTCACTGGGCCTCCTTCCCAACTTCTGACCAGCCTCCAGCTGAACTCTTCCCACCCAAAGCTTTACCTCTAGGAGCTGTTCCCAGGGAACCCGCTAGGGCTGGATGCCGTGTTCCTGTTCCAGCCACAACTTGAGCTGGGCTGCCTGGAATCTGCACTTGAACTCCTGCCAGGCTGCAGGATGGCCAAAGGGTCCATCTCTGAGCCCCTGGATTGCGCCCCCACGTCCTGAAGCACTCAGGACATTCTGAGATTAGCTGGGCCTGGCCATGCTCCCCACCCCTGCTTCCTCCACTCTCAGTTTCCAGCTTTTTTCCTGCTGTACTTTGGCCTGGGAAGGGGCGGGGTGGTTAATGAAATTGCAGCCCAGAATCAACCTTTGCCCCTGCTTTGAGCAGGAGATCTCTGGAGTGGTTCCTGTTGTCCACTAGCCCTGCCTCCCCCACCCCGCCCCTGCTCACTCACTCCCACCTCTTGACTGGCTGGCTGGGCTGATAGGAGGAGACAGCCACACCTACAGGGATTGGAAGGTCCAGGTTAGCACTGCCCACTCCGGAAGATTTCTCTAGAGTGGGAGCATGGACTGAAAATAAAAACATCCTGGCAAGACGGGAGAGGAAGTTGTTGGGGACAAGCTGACACAAGGTGATAGGCTGGGAGCAGTGACAGTAGGGGCTCCTGGGCCTGGATCTCTCTCTCTCTCTCTCACTCTCTCTCTCTCTCTCTCTTTCTCTCTCTCCTTGTACATATTCATTCTCGCTGTGTGTCTGGATGCTTCTGGATTTCTGTACCCAGTCCCAGAGCCTTCCCTGCCCCAGCCCTGTCCCCCCTTCACTGCCCTGACCTCCCTTTCTATATCTCAGAACTCAATTTCCATCTCCACTACCCTACAGGATGTCACAGCTTAGCCTGTCCCAGCTGGAGCTGGGGCTGGGGCTGGGCGCAGTCTCCCCGTGGCTGCTCCTGGTACTGATTGGCACCTCTTGGGTCTTGGCTCACGTGCTCACGAGGACTTACGCTTACTATAAAATGTCTCGCCGGCTCCGATGTTTTCTGGAGCCTCCCAGACAGAACTGGTTCTTGCGTCATCTGCACTTGGTGAGTATGGCAGCGGATAGGGGCTGGAATACCCTGGAGGACAGAGATGGAGTTTGGAGGGTCAGAGGAGTACTGGGGTCAAGGATAATAGAGCAGCAAATGAGGCCTCTTGGTCACTCCTCATTTTTGTCCTGACACCCACATCTGCTTTGGACCCCGTTCCCCTACATAGTGCACCCCCTGGGGAGCCCCCAGAATGAGCAGCATAGAGAAGAGATGCCTGGCTTTTCTACCTTCTCCACTGTAGCACTGGGCACTGCTTCAGGGGTGTGTCCAGGGCCCGCTCTGTGTTCCGTCCGTTAGTTTGTGATTGCTCATGTCTGGCAGCCGTGGTTCCACAGGGATGAGCTGTGGTCCCTCCATCTGCACACACAGTGGGGGCACAGCTGGACCAGGGCAGAGGTGCGGGCATCTCTCAGTGCCTCTGCTCTCCAGGTACTTCCTCTCTCTCGCTCTTTCCTCCTTAAGACCCACCCCAGAGCCCTGTTGTACAACAGAGTGAGGGTGGATAGTGGAATTCCACCTTCCGGGGCTTTCCTCTTTGGGTCGCTGTGGCCTCATTTGTACGCGGTATTCCCAGGGGTGTGGGCAGAGGTCAGTGTGAGGGCGCCCAGGATACACTTCAGCACAGACCCTGGTGAGCAGAAGGTGCCCGCAGATGCAAGTCATGGCTCTCAAGGACAGCAGGGTTCACTTCTGCTCCCTGGGGTCCCCAGTATACAGACCCTTCCCCAGGAGGGACTGCAGACCCCAAAGACCAGGCAGGACACAAGAGCATGCAAAAATAGACTCAAGCCCAGAAATGTTGTTCCCCAGAGCACATCCCCTTGTGCCTGCCCCCGAGCTGGGACCCTCCCCTGCTTGAGCAAACCCATCCTTCTGAGCCGAGGTGGACCCCTCTGGGCAGACAGCAAGTCCACACCCTGTGCCTGGGACTCTCCCTGCTGACTTAGAGATGGCTCTGAGAGGGGAGGGGCAGGAGAAGCAGCGATTCCCTCTATGGTTGGGGTCCAGCCGTGCTGCCCAGGGCAGATGCTGTGCCACCTCTGGCTCCTGCAGAAGCCCCTGCTGTGTCCCCTTCGGAGGGGCCTTGGGCTTCTGCAGAGAGAGACTGGCCACAGTGTAGATGCACCTGCATGTCTGCGGTGTGTACTAGGGGTCGTTGCAGACCGCCTTGCCCCACACCCAGATCCATGGACACTCAAGTCCCTTGATTAAGCAGGGTAGTGTTTGCCTAGAGCCCATAGGTTCCTCCCACAAACTTGAAACCGTCTCCCCATGACTCATCAAATCGAAGGCCGTGCGTGAGGTGTGTAAATAGAGTTGTCGTGCTGTATTGCTCAGACCACAATGAGAAAACAAAGCTGTGCAAACACTGCACACGTTCAGCAGTGTTTGAGCCACAATTTGATTGAGTGCTTGATGCACAATACTATGACCTAGCTCTACCTAACTGAATTGATCTCATCTACCCTTTCCTTCCGTTCACCCCTATCGATCGGTCTAGCTAGTTTATAGTTGCATCATCCAGCTAGCAGCTATCATTCCTCGTCTATCTGTCGACCATTCTGTGTTTCGGAGGAACAGTCCCCATCTGCCTATCCCTAATCCTACCCACACATACCCATCTCCCCTCCTGTGTCTTCTTGCTCTCTCTCCATCATCCTCTTCATCCGTGTAACCATTGCTGTGTATATAGCCCCCTCTATGAATCTGTCATGTCTTCTTGACATAGCCATTATTCTGTTTATATGCGTGTCATTCTATTCATAGGTATCTGTGCACCATCTCTCCCCTCTCTGCATCCACTTCTTATGTCGCATCCTACATTTTATGTACCTAGAGTCCACCTCCTGAAGACAGCGAGCCTGTCTCTCCTCTGCCTGTTCTCGCTGGGTCCTTTGGGGGGCAGGTGCTCACCCGCACTGGTGCCTGGGGACCTTAGGGTGCTCATGCACACACATGCTAATCTCTCCTGGGAGCATCCTAGTGGCACAGCCTCAGAAACCATGTCCTACCAGCCCCCTGGGAACCTTTCAGCCCTGTCAAATAGAAATGGAGAGAAAGTGAGCCACCCCAGGAGGTGACAACCCTTACCTTGTTTGCAGATGAACTCCACGGACCAGGGCCTAAACGAAATGGCTCGCCTGGTCACCACCTACCCCCAGGGCTTTCTGTTCTGGGTGGGCCCCACCATCCCGTTCGTCTCTTTGTGCCACCCTGATGTCCTCCGACCTGTCCTGAATGCTTCAGGTACCCAGGCAAAGCTTGTGGTGGTGGTCAATGTGGTGCGTCAACAATCAGCTTGCATATCCTCTCCCACCAAGGGGCTAATGCCAACGCCATGTCTCCTGGCTCCCCTTCTTCTTCTCCACCAGGTGTTTCCTCTCTGCTTCATGCATTCACCAGCCTCCAGCCACTTTCTCCCCCCACTCCTGCATCCTGACTCCTGTCCTAGGACCCCTGTGTTTTTAACAGGCTTCAGTCCAAATGTCAGCCCTGAAAAAAAAAAAAGCTTAATTTTGAAGGAATGGATCATACCAGATTTATGTGGCCAGGAGAGGAATGAGTCAGGTGGAGATGGGCTGCAACAGCTCAATGGAGAAGTGGCATCTCTGGTGGAACAGGCTGGAAGCCTGCCTGGAGGAGTCGTCCCAAGCTGGGTCAGGAATGACGAGTGAGTGTTGGAGTGCTTGCTGCAGGCTGGTGTTTTGCATGCGCCCAGTTCCACAGAAATGAGGAGAACCTGTGGCTGGCAAAGGCTCTGGGACAGAACTTGTGGCTGGAGAGGGGTCCGGAACAGAACCTACAGCTGAGAGGGGAAAGCCTGTGGCTGCTAGGGGTTCTGGAGAGAGACAGTGGTTGGCAGAGGCTCAAGGGCAGAGCCTGTGGCTGGCTGGGTCTGTGGGAAATAGCCTGTGGTTGGCAGAGGCTCTGGGCTGCTACTTCTGAGACAGCCATCACCTTGGACCTCAGACTCCTTGGATCTTATCCGGTGGTCTGTCCACAGCAGGACAGTTGCCTGTCTGCTCCAGCCCCAGGAATCTGCACCACATCCTGCCACATGCCCATTGCCCACTGCCCACTGTCTTCTCCACCCCTGTGTAGATGGGTGAGTTTTATAAATGGGCAACACCCACCAAAATGGAATGGGGTCCTGGTCAGGCCCCCACACTCTCTCTGGCCTTCTGAGGTCTCTTTCAGCTGTGAGTGGTAAAAAACTCAAAGGTTGTGTTTGTCCTTAAAACTCAGGGAGAGTGGTCTTCAGGCACAGTAGGATTCGGAATTCCCTCCCTCCTCCTATGAGTTGAACCGATTTCCCTTTGACAGCTGCCCTTTAGTCACGGTGCCCATGATGGGTCGGGTTCTATCCTCAGGGACAACTCACCTTTCCTCTTAGTGACCTGTGATCTGGTTAGATTATCTTCACCTGATTACCTAGACGGATGACTTCAGCCCATCACTGGGACCCTGACTGCCCAGCCCCTGGGAGGGACAAGGGTCCCCAGGGCTGTTGTTCAGGAAGCACCAAGCAGCTAAGCGGTCAAGTGCTCAGGCTCTGCATTCACATTTGAGCCACGTCACACACACCACCTGACCTCCTGTGGTCAAAGCACCTCATCGCTCGTGGCCTCGGTCTCTGCCTCTGGAAAACTGGGTGGAAGAGAAGCCTGGGGATGTGGTTTTGGGGGGTCCACATGGAGAGTGACTTTTTCTGTGCCTCTAACAGGGGGACCCTGACTGTAAGTGTCCGGGGGATGTGGGTGAGAGTCCAGGAGGCAGCTCAGCACAGAGAAGGTGATGGGGTGCCAGGTCTGTCTGGGTCCTTGGACGTCGGTCCTTCTCTGGCAGTTTAGAAGAGCCTGCATTTGGTCTTGTTTGTTGTGCAGATGTAGAGCTCAGAGAAAGGGCTCCTGCACACCCAGGGCCTGGTGTGCACCTTAGGAAATGAGAGGGGCTAGCATGGAGGGCCCTGGTACGCAGTCACCTGCACCTTCCACCCTGTATCCAGCCTGTTCTCTTTGTCCCACATAGATGGTACATTGGTCACTGGCTTGTCCTCTGTGGAGGTTTCTGTGCTGCTAGGCAGGTGACTCAAGTGCAGACAAGAGAGCCACCTGTGTCTCACTCGGACTTCCATCTCTCTGCCCTCTGCTCACCTCTGAAGTCTGCTTGCGTCTGTTGTGTGGCCACGTCTAAGCTTATGGACCTGTACATCTGGATCCTAACTACACCTGAGATGTGTGCTGCCTGCTTACACCTGTCACGTGTATACCCTTGGAAGCCAGCCATCACGTACAAGTCATGTCAGCTTCCCGTCTGAGATGTGGCTTGGGGTTATCTTTTGGTCCTGCGTGCGATGCCTATGCATTGCCGGGAGCTAGTCTGAAATCTCGGGTGCTTTTCGGTTCGGGTCATGTCTGTTGCCTCATTCGGTCCTACCCGAATCACAGCTGAGACACTGATGGAAGTTTATATGAATCCTTTCAGTGGGGCGTCCTGAGGTCATGTCACGGAGTCTCTGGTCCATGTCAGAGCGTGTTGTGTCATGTCTAGGACAGGATATGGCGGTTGTGACACCACGTCAGGAGCACGTTAAGACATTTAGGGAACAAGTTCTATAACCCAGGTGCAAGTTGGAAGATTTCAGGACGTGATGGAGCAGTGTGTCCTAGGTTCGTAAAAGGATGCTTATTGAAAATGTTGTGATTGCATGTCACAGAACATGTTGAGCCATGTAGAAGCCATGTCATGGTGTGATGTGGCATGTTGGCATGTGTCTTTGCTTTTCTGTGCATTCCTGAAGCCTGGTCTGGTCCGTTCTTTCTCTCTATCCTTGGCACCTTTCCTGATTCGTTGGGTTTGGAGGGGGGAAGCACAACCCCCTAACTGACACAGTCCCTCCCCTGCCCTCTCATGGTTTCGTTGTTCCCATCAGCTGCCATCGCACCCAAGGACATGGTCTTCTACGGCTTCCTGATGCCATGGCTGGGTGAGTAACTGAAGGTGGAGGGGTAAGGTCAAGTTTGGAAGTTCAGGGAAGGGTGATGGTATTGCCCTCTGCCCATGGCTACTCTGCCTGCCAGGGGACGGGCTTCTGCTGAGCTCCGGGGACAAGTGGAACCGCCATCGCCGCATGCTGACGCCTGCCTTCCACTTCAACATCCTGAAGCCCTACATGAAGATTTTCAGCAAGAGCGCGGACATCATGCATGTGAGTGTCTTAACTCCAGGGACCCAGCGGAAGTCTTGAGAGCAAAGGGGCCACGGAATACCCATTCTGAAATAAATCTTCAAAAGACTTATTTTGCTTTGAAAGATAGATGTACAGAGAGAAGCAGAGAGAAATAGAGGTCTTTGCTTGTCCCTGGCACACTGTGTTGAAGGTGTCAGTCTCCCAGAAGCCCTATAGACATTAATGTTGAAGCTCTCATAGGAACTGTTATTATCATGAACCATCTGAACCCCATGGGTTTAAAGCAATAAAGGTTTATGACTGCTAATAAGTCAACGGGTCATCCGGCTGGGCCTTGCATGATTGGGTCTTTCATCCATGGTCCACAATGCATAGTGGGTCAGAAGTCAACCCTACTCTGTTATCTTGCCAATTTGTGGCTCAGCTGGCTTTAGGGCAATCTAAGCTGGGACACGCTATGCCAAGTGGGTCCCTCTCTGAGGGAGGTCATCTTCAGAGACAAGTGTTCAAAGGAATGTGAGGACACTTTCGTTGGACAGCGTTAACATTTCATCATTATGACCACATAATTTTTAAAAATTCAGCACAGAGTCAAAGGTAGGAACAATGGAGGCTTTCTCTCGTAATACAAGTTACTGAAAAGACATGTTGCAAAAGATGTGGAGGTAGGAAGAAGTGAAGAATTTGGATAAAGAGTTTTAGGAAGTACCTAGAACTTTTTTCTCATATAGTTCTGGTAACTTACCTTCTCACTATTTCAAGCATTCTACCAGAAGACACCCTGGGAAGCTTACTAGTCATCACACAACATGCGGGTACCCCAAGTGAGGTTCTATGAATGTCTGCTTCTACGGCATAGTCTGTTAGAGAGTGTGAGAACTGGGCTTTGGGAAATTCTGCTTTGATTTTTAGTAAAATGGAGAGAACTAATTTCATGTGCTTCGTGGATGCAGTTCTAAGGAAATAAGCATTCTCCGCCCTCTCTTTACCTCCTTTCATTCCTACCTCCATCCCTCATCTTCCTTTCTCTCTCCTTTGATTTTTACGATGACGTAATTTCACCTTGCTTGATTATCACAGGCTTAACACACCATGAAACCATAATGTTCAACAAGTAACAAACAGGAAGGCACAGTTCCACAGAAACATAGAGATGAGCAAAGACGAATAATCAAATCCTAAGATGTCAGGGACGCCTTTACACATTTTTTTAGAGGAAATAAATGCAGTGTTTTTTGCCAATCATCTTGGATCATTATTTTCACAACCTTGTTGTAAAATATAGCATCTCATTCTTTCACTGGTTGAGTAGTATCCCATTGGATAAGTATAAACCGTATTTTATTCAGTCGACCAGTCGATGGGACAACGTTGTTTATCCCATATCTCAGATACTGTGACTTGAGCTGCAATCTATTTTAGGGAGTAGAGTTCAATCTTTCAAATGCTGATTTCATTTCCTGGGTTAAATTCCTGGGCATGAGCTGGCAGGGTCCTGTTCCTTCAGAGCTCTGAGGAATCTACATGCTGTCCTCCGTAACAGTTGGACTGGTTTACGTTCACTAGTACACTGCTGGATGGGAATGTAAGCTAGGAAATCCGTCTTCATGGTGAGTGGGAAGCAAGCCTGACACTTTTATGGGGGCCATCACCATTAGATTCCTCCGTGTTGTTGTCTACAAAGGTTAAGACGCCGGTGAAGAACATGAGAGATCAGGATGCCTGGCAAGGATGTTTAGGTCCGTGGAGAACTGCTTCTCCCAGCACGGGGAATCCGCAGGAGGCATAGCAGGTCAAGCTCCTGCTGGCTATAATTGGCATCCCACATGCATACCAGTTCATGTACTCACGACTCCACTTCAAATCTAGCTTCCTGCTAATGACCTGAGGAGGAGGAAAAAGGTGATGGTGGGGGGAAGATGCCCCATCTGTTTTGTCTCCTAGCCTTCCACATGGTAGACCACTAGCTTCCATCTGGCCCAGCACTGACCATTGCAGTCAGCTGGGGCGTGAGCCGGTGGATGAGATATCTTTCCCTCTGTGTCTGTATCTCTCTCTCTCTTTCTCTCTCTCTCTCTCTGTGTGTCTTCCTGTCTTTGTAAAGTTGACTTTCACAGCATGGAGACGAGGATACCTGGCACTAACTGGACACACAACAACAGTGATGACAAGTGCCAATTGATCTAGATAGCCTCATTTCCACAACCCTTTGTGGTGCCTTATCGTGGGCATTGAAACTGAGAATCAGGGAAATTGTGGGGCTTGGCCAGGCTCACTCAGTTAGCAAGTGTACCTGGAACACTGTGTCACTGACATCACTTTGACCTGACATCCAAACGGATCAACTTAACTGCTACCATAGACTTGATGTAGTTCAGGGAAGGTTACTGAGCTCTCCAAGGTCACACGGAAACAGGAGGAAGAGCTGGGACTTGGAGCCAGGTCTCTGGAGGCCAAGTCTGGAAGATTCCTCCAGAAACGGTAACAGGTTTCACTCCCTCTCAAGCTGGTCCTCCCAATTGGGTGGTTGAGGCAGAGAAACAGAGGTCGATTTGAGTTAGGGGTCCCTCCTGGTGGTTAGACTTAAAGAAGGGTTCTTTCTGAGGACCCAAGGTCCAGCTAAGCTCTGCAATTTTCTTTGACCAGGCCAAATGGCAGCGCCTGGCCTCTGAGGGCAGCGCCCGTGTGGACACGTTTGAGCACATCAGCCTCATGACCCTGGACAGTCTGCAGAAATGTGTCTTCAGCTACGACAGCAACTGTCAGGAGTGAGTCCCTGTCCAGGGCATTGGGAACTTGGGACACGGGCCCAAGGGAGAAGGTGGTGGGATGAGAGGACAGACCAGCAATCAGGGAGAGATGAGTGAGGTGTTGGGTGCTAAATGACAGGGAAGGGGAGGGAGAAAGGATGGTCCTTCCGGTTGGGTAGAGATACTTGAATGAATGAAAAGACACTAGAATGAGCAGAGCGTGGTCACAGATGGTCAGGAGACAGACAGCCTGGACTGTCTAGATCTTAACTATGTTGAAAGGCTGGCCAAAGCAGCACGAAGGCTGTCCTAGATTATCCAGGGAAACCTGTATGTATTTGAATATGGTGGACATAGTCACAGCTGACTTTTGCGAGCATCCATATACTCAGAGGCAATGAGGAAATGGGCCCGTTATCACAGGGTGATGTCCACAGGTAGTTTCTGGGAGTAGGACAGGAGGGATAACTCCTGGGCAGGAGAGACAGAGAAAGAACATAACTGAATTCAGACATGGCCAAGGAGGGAGGCATAGGGAATGTGAGGAGGCAAGTCTCGTGCGTGCCCTTGTGTTGTCTGGATGCTCAGTCTCTCTCGAGCGAGATAGCTGTTGAGTTCTGGAGAAAGACATTGCACACAGGTCGGGTATGTTCACTTATTGCTTCTCCTCGCGACCTCATCCTGCAGGAAGCCCAGTGAATACATTGCTGCCATCTTGGAACTCAGTGCCCTGGTGGCCAGAAGGAACCGCCAAATCTTCGTGCATCCAGACCTCCTGTACAACCTCACCCCTGACGGGCAGCGCTTCCACAGGGCCTGCCGCCTTGTGCACGACTTCACAGACGCCGTCATCCAGGAGCGGCGCCGTGCTCTGGCCAGCCAGGGTTCCGATGAGTTCCTCAAGTCCAAGACCAAGACCAAGACTTTGGACTTCATTGACGTGCTCCTGCTGACCAAGGTGAGCACCCCGAGGATCTGTTCAGGAGGCAGGACAAGGTCGGGCGTCAGAACGACTTGATCTAGATGGCACTGGAAGGCATTAGAAGAAGTGAGGGAGCATGCAAAGACAGATGTAAGACATGACTGCGAAGTACAGACATCAAAGGAAGACACTGGTTTTACCTGACTGACAAATCCATCGTGAGTCTGCCACAATTTAGATCTATGTCCGAATCTGTATCTGAGGCACACAGCCCACGCACATCCCTGTGCTGACAGGTGCACAAGAACCCTGGGTCAGAGAAGCTCATATGTGGGTTCACACCGGCCACAGCAAGGATGTAGCTAGCCCTGACTTCTCCTTCCACCTAGAACAATGCAATGGTTTTACCTGAATTTGCAAAAGGATGGACCCTGCAGGAGGAGTCTTGGATGGCCCTTTTTGGTGTGTGTGTGTGTGTGTGTGTGACTGAGAGAGAGAGAGAGAGAGGAGAGAGGCTATGGTAGAATGATACCCATAGAGCTCCAAAGTGCCTCCAGGAGATGTAAGATTTCCAGTACTCGCCCAACTGCAGTGAGAGTCAACATCTTTGGGACAACTCTTCAACTCTGATTCTCAACGCAACTCAACAAGCAGTTCTCACGCAACCTGGGCTGACAGCAACTTTTTCTCAGAAAACCCACATCCTGCAAAAAAACAGGACAATGCTCCTGGACCCTTAATTCCTCCCACCAAGGACAATTGCAGGAGCCAAGGAGGCCCAGGATGCTGCCTGGGGTGGCAGTCATCCCATGACAATGACCAAAAGATAGATGCCTAGAGATGCAGTGTGCTTGGCTTCTGGGAGGATGATAATCCTTTGAGAGCATCCCAGGTTACATCCAAGAGCCTTCAGAGCTGGTGTGACATGGTCATCTTGTCTCCAGGATGAAGAGGGGAAGGAGTTGTCAGACGTGGACCTACGTGCAGAGGCAGACACCTTCATGTTTGAGGGTGAGGGGCCCAGGTGGATTGCCGTGTTTGTGAGTGTGTGTGTGTGTGTGTGTGTGTGTGTGTGTGTGTGTGTGTGTGTGGTGGGAGGAAGAGAGGGTTGCGGCATCTCTGCATCCCGTGGGCATGGCGGGTGAGACCTGGTGCATGACTCCTGGACCTCTCTGTGTGGGCATTTGCCCACTCTATGGTACTGGTTGCTGAAGTCCAAGCCTGACTTTCTGCCCCTTCAGGCCATGACACCACAGCCAGCGGCCTCTCCTGGATCCTATACAACCTTGCAAAGCACCCGGAATACCAGGAACGCTGCCGGCAAGAGGTGCAGGAGCTCCTGAGAGACCGGGAACTGAAAGAGATTGAGTGGTGAGTGGAGGGTGAGTGGAGTTCTTGGAACCCCTTTCTCTGGATTAGCACTTGGACAGTGGGGAGGGAAGATGGCCTTTGTTGGTTTTTTGGTGATAATGTTATTTCTTGGTACACTCTCTGGCTAGCAGGGGAAGGACTGCAGGCTTTGGGGAAAGAACAGTCTGGGCTGCCAAGAGAATTAGGGGCAATGCGTTAAGGAAAGATAACTCCACTTGGTACAGGTTGTCTAAATGAGCCTCCTTCCTACTGCCTTCTTCAACCTCCTAAAACCGCATGTCCCCCAAACTTCTTCACTCCCTGAATACGCGTGCTTCTCTGGCCCCTTAATTCCTACACCCAGCTCCTTTTCTTAGCAAACACAGCCCACACGGCTTTGCCAGCCTCGTGTCCTCCCTGGGAAGCACCCAGGGAGGTGTGTCCCAGTCTGATGGAGCCAGCACCTGGTACGGATCCACCTTTGCCACACGGATGGGGACAGGAATGAGAGAAAGCAAGGCGACAATGCAGTTCTCTTTTGTTGCATGGTGATCATACATATTTTCGGGGGAACCCTGGGACATTTCCATACACACAGAATGTATAATGACTAACCTGAGATAATTTGCATATCACACACCTCAGGCATTCACCACTTCTCTGGTCTTTGTGCCTGATTTTTCTTTTTAATTTCCTAGATATCTTGCGATAATTATCTGGCTGAATTTTCTCTGCTATGTCTACGATTGTCTGCTTTTGTCATTTATTTTCTTCTGCCTTTAAAAGCTCAGCTATCGGGTGCACCTGCAGTTTATTTAATACAGACAGAAATATTCATCAGGCTATGGGAGGATGGCCGGCTCCACGTTGCTCCCTGGGTAATGGTCCGGGCTCTTCCTTAGGGACGACCTGGCCCAGCTGCCTTACATGACCATGTGCATCAAGGAGAGCCTGCGTTTACATCCTCCCGTCACAGCCATTTCCCGCCGCTGCACCCAGGACCTGGTGCTTCCAGACGGCCGTGTCATCCCTAAAGGTGCCTGCATATCAGGGGGGAGGCTCCTCTTAGTCAGGAAAGGGGCCCACTAGGCAAGGGACCTTGACCTGAATGCCCCATCTCCTCCCACAGGAATTGTGTGTTTCATCAGCATTTTTGGGACCCACCACAATCCAACTGTGTGGCCGGACCCCGAGGTGCTGCCTCCTGTCCCCACCTCCACCCTTGAACAATGCAATGGTTGACCCCTTGATCATGCCAGGGGTCCTGGAGGGAGGAGGGGCAGGGGTTGAGTCAGCGATGTCACAGCTGCTGTCTCCGAGGCCAGCTCTACTGGGGGAACCCCACTCGGCAACCCTGTTTCCCCTCTCACCTCCAGATCTATGATCCCTCCCGCTTCGAGCCAGAGAAAGTCAAGGACAGGTCGCCCCTGGCTTTTATCCCCTTCTCAGCAGGGCCCAGGTGAGGGCAGTGCCATGTGAGGCCGGGCAGAGTGAGACCGGGGCAGGGATGAGGGCATGATGGTGGGGCAGGAAGCAAGGATGGGCACTGCAGGCATTCCTTCCTCCCCTGCCTGGATGCCAGCGTGAAGCCTGGGGCCCCGGGAGCTGGTCCAAGATGGGTCTGATGTGCACGCAGAGCCCCTAGCTGGTGTGTGCTGGGGCCTGAGTCAGGGCCAGGTCGGGGAGCTGTGTAGCCCCCAGGAGTTCCCAGCAGTGCCCTGGTTCAGGCACAGGACCCACATGGCCCGGATGGTGGTCCTGGAACCATCAGAATGCCCATCCCCGTCTACCAGTCTACCAGGGAATGGAGTCTGTGGGGAAACGGAAACTTACCTGGGGATCCCCAGAAGGGGCACCCCCATGTCTGTCCCTCCGACTGGTCAGGGTGGGACGAGGATCCCAGTCCGAGGTCCTCAGGGCGCAGTCCGCACCTCTCCCCGTCCGCAGGAACTGCATCGGGCAGGCGTTCGCCATGGCCGAGATGAAGGTGGTGTTGGCGCTCACGCTGCTGCGCTTCCGCATCCTGCCCGACAGTGCTGAGCCGAGTCGCAAGCCGGAGCTCATCCTGCGTGCGGATGGCGGGCTGTGGCTGCGGGTGGAGCCGCTGGTCGAGGGACAGTGACCCCTGTGGGGCCACGCTTTGGAGCCCCTTTGAGCCCACCTCCCCACCTCCCCTTTGCACATTTCTCGAATAAACTGTGCCGTGTCTTCTGTCTGAGCCTTGCCAAGAACCAGCGGGGGTGGGCGTGGGGGGTGGCCACAGGAGCTTTGGGGAACCCAATTGTCAGATTTGAAATGTTTGCTATCGTAACAGAAGACCTGAGCGCATGTTCTGCCCACGGATTCCCAACCCCCAATGGTGGATTTTTTTTCTGAAGCCAAGGGTAGGCTTCATAGCCTGGGCAATAGGGAGCCCTGGGCTGTTAGTCACACACAATACACCAAGAACAGAACCCTTTGTCTGGACCCAGATGCTCCCAGCCAAGGCACCTTACAGGTTCCCTCTGGTGAACCTGTTAAAACTGGGGTCTCCTTAGCCATCTCTCCTTACCTATGTCTGCCCCAACTGTGTGGGATTCTTCATTTATCTGTGCCACACCCTGCCAGTCCAGCCCCTGCCTTGCCCTCTTGTCAATACAATGCTAAATGTCTTGGTCCTCGCCTTGCATGCGCCAGGATACCCATAAGGGCACCAGTTCGTATTGCAGCTGCTCCACTTCCCATCCAGCTCCCTGCCTGTGGCCTGGGAAAGCAGTGGAGGACGGCCCAAAGCTTTGGGACCCTGCACCTGCGTGTGGGAGACCCAGAAAGAAGCTCCTGGCTCCTGGGTTTGGATTGGCTCAGCTCCAGCCGTTGCAGCCGCTTGGTGAGTGAATCATCGGATGGAAGATCTTCCTCTCTGTCTCTCCTCCTCTCCGTAAATCGGCCTTCGCAATGAAGATAATAATAAATAAATCAGTCAGGCCCTAGGGAGTCAGGCAACTGGTTCTACCCATGACAAGATGCCCGTGCTTGGATGAGAAATATAAACCTCATCCCACCTCTGTTTTATCACCTGCTCCAGGGGCCTTCTTCAGAGACTGCTAAGATAACATGAAGACAGTATTTAGATATAAAGGACTAACATGTTGTCAGCCCTAAGAGGATGGTTTGCAGGTGTGTGTCTGTACAGGAGCGGAGGGTGGGCTTGGAGAAGGAATGAGAAGATGATGAAAGGATGAGAACGAAGGGACTCGTTACTCCTTTCTCTGAGGAGAGCTGGACCATCCTACAGATCCCCCATGGACCACGGCCAAGCTCTCTGACCGGGGCCATCAGGTGGACCTGATGGACGGGAGTGATAAGAGACCGTCTTGGACCTAGTGTGGGCTGGGGGGGCAGTGGGGACAAGAAAATTCTTCTATGAACTCTGGGGATGAAGGTATAGTCAACTCAGGCTGAGCGTCCAGCTATGGTTATAAGGTTCTAGGCCGGCACTGCAGTCAACAGCTTAACCCACCGCACCACAATCCCAGCCCCCAGCTCTTAGGTGGGAATAATAGACAGCCATCTTAGTGGATGTGCAGTGACAGATCTCTTGTTTCCACAACTCCGCATTTCAGATTTTAAAAATGCAAATGCTACTGTTTCCTTTATCATTCTCTCAGAAAAAAAAATAAATGGATACTGTCTCTCATAAAATATTATCATAGTCATTTATAAGAGTCCTTCCCCCCCCCCATGGCTGTATTATTTCATCATTTAAATACCAAGCAATTCACCTGCTAATGAAAAGTCTATTTCACCCAAAAGGGCCTTTCTACATAGCTTTGCCGTAGGGACTGTGGTGCATACAAGCGTAGTTCCTTCAGACGGGCAGTAACTTGCTAGTGTCGCCCGAAGGCCAGTTCCTCATCTTCACCTTGTTGGCTTTGCCGAAATACCAGCTGAGTACAAACAGGACTTCATTATGTAAAGAGAAGACCACCTCTGGGCCTTTCTCTGTGGGCTGTGAGCAGGAAATACAAATTGGATAGTGAGAACCCAAGGTTTTACATCCCTTCTGACGTGGGTGCTGGCACCCTGATAGGGCAAGGAATGTTGGCCTTTGTCCACCATCGGCCCGTACGTGGCCCTGGCTGCCTTTGGGGCGCGCCAGATCTCTGGCTGAGGTCACTGTGGTGTCCACCCACTTCCTGTAACCATGGTAGCCATCCTACCTCACTGCATGCCGCTGGGTGCTGAGAGACAGCTCCTTGGTCCAAGGTATTTTTCTGAGGTTCCTGGTTCCTCTTAACCCTCTCTAGTCCCTTGTTAGTCCTTGTTGCTGTTCAACTACAGAAGCTTAAAGGAATCTACGTGAAGGTTGGGTGTTTTATAGATGTCTTCTAACATCAAGTGATGGTGCAGAATTGAGAAAAAGATGGTGACGTTTCCGCATCCTTTGGGTTTTAGGCAGCTAACACTTCCATGAGGCAGGGGCACTATCAGGGGTCCTCCCGTCCCGCGGAAGAAATCACCCGACACTTGAGAGAGTCTCCGAGGCGCTTTATTCCGATCTTCCGTTGAAAACCATTATGTCCCTTACACTCCAGCCCCTCCCCTGCCTAGCCCCGCCCCCTTATCTGTCAAACTTGTCCAATCAGCTTAAAGATAACCAAGGCAGACCAATCAGGGCAAAGGGCCAATCACAGGGCAGGAAATGATCAGTGCCCCCAACAGGGCACCACCAGCGTCTGAAACCGGCTACCTCGGACAGGGGAGATTTTCTTTATACATCTTGAAGATCCAATTTTAAAAGCAGAGACAGATCTCTGTATTCCACATTAGATGCTGCTTAGAGTCTGCTTCCATCTAGCTCTCAGATGACCACGTGGGAGGCACAAGGTGATGGCTCCAGTGCTTGAATTCTATGCTTCCACGTGGAAGGCCAGGATGTGGAACCTGGCTTCTGGCTTCAACCTTGCCCAGCTGCTGAGGGCATTTGTGCAATAAAACAGCAGATAAAATCTCTCTCTTGCATTCAAGTAAATCTTTAACCACACACACGGACTCATGAAGGGATTTTGACCTTTGATATGCCACTAATGTCTGTTTCACCCCGATCTACGCATCACTTTCATTGACCTAAGAAATCAGAATGGTAGAAGAAGGAATGAAACTTTTCCAAAAAGGTCACAGAGGGACTGGTGTTGTTCAGGGGGCTTGAACCAAAGACACTGCCTGCAGCATGGGACTCCCTGGTGAACAACGCTTCAAATCCCAGCTGCTCCACTTCTAATTCAGGTCCCTGCTCATGCACTTAGCAAAGCAGTGAATGACGGGCTCTGTCAACGGTGTAGGGGACCAGGCTGGAGATCCAGTCATCTAATAGCCTGAATCGGACCTGGGCTTTGTGGCCAGTTGCAGAGTGAACACATTCTCTCTCTCTCTCTCTCTCTCTCTCTCTCTCTCTCTCTCTCTCTCTCTCTTTCTCTCTCTTCAAATCTTCTTTGAAGGTCATAGAAAAAAAATCAAAGATAAGTTATGTCACTGCCCCAAATTTTCACTTCCGTGTATTCATGATGTTCTCAAAAATAACTATTGGGTCTGGTACGATGGCCCAACGGCTAAAGTCCTCACCTTGAACATGCCAGGATCCCATATGGGTGCCGGTTCTAATCCCGGCGGCTCCACTTCCCATTCAGCTCCCTGCTTGTGGCCTGGGAAAGCAGTGGAGGACGGCCCAAAGCCCTGGGACCTTGCACCTGCGTGGGAGACCCGGAATAAGCTCCAGGCTCCTGGGTCTGGATTGGCTCAGCTCCAGCCATTATAGTCACTTGGGGAGTGAATCAATGGACGGAAGATCTTCCTCTCTGTCTCTCCTCCTCTCTGTATATCTGCCTTTCAAAGAAGAAGAAAGAGGAGGAGGAGAAAGAAGAAGAAGAAGAAGAAAGAGGGGGAGGAGGAGAAAGAAGGAGAAGAAGAGCAAGGTCTCAAAGTAACATCCTGATATGGGATTCCAGTGTCACAGGTAGCAGCGCCACCTTTTGCAACTCAGTGCTGGTCCTTGATTTCAGAAAAAAAAAAAGATCTGCACCAAAGTAAGATTATGTCTCAATTCCTTTTTCCTTGAAATGTACATATGTGTATTTTTTCTGACTTTTTTTTCAGTTTTAATTGTACTTGTTTATGGGACATTGTGATGATTCAACATACACGTTCAATGTGTGAAGATAAAATGAGATTACTAAATATTTGTGTATTTTTTTAAAAGATTTATTTATTTTTATTGGAAAGGCAGATCAGATTCACAGAGAGACAGAGAGAAAGATCTTCCATCCACTGGTTCACTTCCCAAATGGCCACAATGGCAAGAACTAAGCCGATCCAAAACCAAGAGCTTCTTCCAGGTCTCCCACATGGGTGCAGGGTCCCAAGGCTTTGGGCCTGTCCTCGACTGCTTTCCCAGGCCACAGGCACGGAGCTGGGAAGGAAGCGGAGCAGCTGGGTTGTGAATCAATGCTCATATGGGATAACGGTGCTGGCAGGGTGAGGATTTAGCCATGTTGGGCCCCTTGTCTTTATATTTCTGAGTTTCACTCGCACTCAGTGATTGCATGGATTGGATGCAGCATGGTATTCAGTATACGCAAAAGGGCGCTGACCAAACCTGGATCAGAATGTCTTCTTCTCCTTGCATTAACGATTGCAGCCCTCAAGCTTCCCTCTTACAGTCACCTGTGGCTCAGAAAAGCAGTAGATCGCTTAGCAACAGTCACTGCATCACAACCTTGTTGACACACCCTTAGATGTGCCCGTGTGTATGTGCCTGATGCTCTGACCCTCACAAAATTAGATCATCATAGGTGTGGGTCACACACACACACACACACAAATTGATAGAACCCAGTGTAACTAAGGGTGGACCCCTCCTTCACACCACAGACACTATCAACTCAAACGGGATCAAAGACTGAAATGTGGAAGTCTTGCTGGATAGCACAGATGCTCACGCCCTCAGTCTAAGCCATGGTTTCCTTAGACGGGACTCCCAACATAGAATCAACAAACAAGACGATGGACAACATCCTTGACATGAAGAGTCAAGAATAAAACGAGCTTGGAGCCTTATACCGGTTGCTGGTGGGAATGCACACGTGATACAGACATGAAAGGAGAAACCGGCAGTTCCTAAAACATTCAGCACAGGACACTATTTGATCCAGGGATGGCACCCATATGTATATTTCTGAGAGAATCAGAACACTTACTCTAACAGCAACTTGTACTTGCACTTTCATAGCAGCATTACACAAAAACTTGAAACACTGGAATACGTAACGGTGAATAATAGAAGCGAGGTAGCATGCCTACGCCATCTAAGATCAACCGGCAATTAAACAGAGGTCCAAGTCACGCTACCGACGTGGTGTGCAGGAACCCAGCAGAAAGGACCCCCGTTCCATTCGTGACTCCGTTTCTAGGAAATATCCAGGTTAGGCCGATCTATGCAGGCAGGAAGTAGATGGCAAGGGCAAAGGAGATAGAGACAAATGGGAAGTGATTGCTGAGAGATGTGCCTTGGTTAGGAAAACGCTCTGTAGCTGATGGTGACATAATTCTGAGTATACGAACACCATAGAAATGTGCGCTCTCTCAGGCAAATTGTAGGGCGTGTGAATTGCTTCTCAGTGAAGCTCACTAAATACTTAAAGATAGGGACGAGTAAGGCATGCGAAATGAAAACGTTTTGAATATTTATTGAGCACCTGCTACATGACACGCACTCATCTCTCGCCTCAGTCTTAGCAGGTGCACAGCCGAGGGTATGGGATTCCTCACACAGGGTTTGTAACCCTGCTTCCACACCGGCTGCTCAGGCATTTGAGTGGAGTCTCTTGAGGAAAGTTTTCTTCAGGGCAATCTTGAGCTCCTTGTTCCTGAGGCTGAAGATGATGGGGCTAAGGAAGGGCGTGAGGACCGTGTAGGTGGTGGCCATCAGGGTGTCACCTTCCTGGAAGTGGGGACCCTTGGGCTTGAGGTAGATGACAGAGGCGAAGCCATAGTGGACCACGACCACGATCAGGTGCGAGGCGCAGGTGGAGAAGGCTTTGTGCCGCCCCTCGGCGGATGGGATCTTCAAGATGGCATTCACAATGAAGGCGTAGGAGAGGAGGATGAGCAAGAAGCAGCCCAGGAGAGCGGTGATACACACCAAGCCCACGCCCAAGGCCACCGCTGGGACGTTGCTGCCACAGGCCAGCTTCAGCAGAGGGGGCACGTGGCACAGAAAGTGCTGGATCCGGTGCGAGCCACAGAAGGAGAGTCGGAAGATGGCCGTGGTCACCACCAACCCTACCGCAGAACCACACGCCCAGGACCCGGCCACCAACCAGGCACAGCCACGGGGACTCATGAGCACGTTGTAGCGCAGCGGATGACAGATGGCCACGTAGCGGTCATAGCCCATGACGGTGAGCAGCAAGGAGTGGGTGAAACCAAAGGTAAAGGAGAAACACATCTGGCAGGCGCAGGCCAGGAAGGTGATGGAGTGGTGGGCGGACAGCAGGTCGGCCAGCATGCGCGGGATGATGGCCAGCGTGTAGAGGATCTCCGAGATGGAGAGAGCGCACAGGAAGAGGTACATGGGCGTGTGCAGGCTGCGCTCGCTCCACACGGTGGCCATGATGAGCAGGTTCCCCAGCAGCGTGAACAGGTACATCAGCAGGAAGAGCAGGAAGAAAAAAGGCAGTAGCTGCCGCGGGAAAGTGGAGAAACCGATGAAGATGAACTCGGACACCGAGCTGTGGTTTACCTCCGGCATGGCAGCTTCAGCTGCTGGGGAAGAGGGCCCTGCGGGGTGGGCAACACAGGGAACCCAACCTGGGAAGACTTCCTGGAGGAGGTATTCAGCCAAGCACGCCACAGCTAGACCACCTGCAAAAGGACATGAAGAGTCTTGGCATACGAGGATTCAGTCAGTGGATTCTAATGATCATCTGTTGACTCGTCATTATTACTATTTTTTTATTATGTGATACAGTTTTATAGGCACTGGGATTCCCCCCACCCTTCCCACAACCCTCCCCCCGTGGTGGATTCCTCCACCTTGCTGCATAACCACAGTTCAAGTTCAGTTGAGATTCCTTCGTTGCAAGCATATACCTAGCATAAAGTCATTATTTTTTTAAAGGTTCATTTATTTTGTGTTGGAAAAGCAGACTTAGAGAAAAAGGAGACACAGAGAGAAAGATCTGCCATTCGGTGTTTCACCCTCCCTCCATGACTGCAGCAGCCAGAGCTAAGTCAATCCAAAGGCAGGAACCAGGATTTTGTTCTGGGTCACTCAAGTGGGTGCAGGAACCCAAGCACTTAGACCATCCTCGGCTGCTTTCCCAGACCATAAGCATGGAGCTGGGTGAGAAATGAAAATTCAGGACACGAACTGGTACCTGCATGGGATGTAGTTGCTTGCAGGTGAAGCCAGTGGAACTTCATAGAGGCCCCAACCCACCATCGTTATTCACAAGTATTAAAGTAAAAACAGTAACAACAAAAAAAACCCAAACAGGTATTGCCACTACTAGTCCCAGGCAGCCCACCCTGCTTTGTTTTCCTGTCTTTGCCCATGTGTGACCTTTCTCTGATTCCCCAAGCCTGCCTCAGGGGGGCAGGCATCAGCAATCTTGGGGTTTCAAGGATGTGAGGCACCTTGAACATTCAGCTGTTGTCATTGTTGGGTCTGCCTTGCTTGAGCCTCTTACAAGGACGCAGCACCGACCAGTGTCACCAAGGGGCCGTGTCCTCTGGGCTTTCTATCTCTGGTTCCCTTCTAACACTATTCCGAGTTGCCTCCCCTCTCTTAGAACCCTCTGCCTCCTCCTGCTGGCTACAGGTGCCAAGATTCTCAGCCCCAGGTACTCTCCCTCCCTGAGTAAAAATCAAAGCCACACCTGTGCAGCTCTGGCATCTTCTCCAGTCTCTCTCTCTCTCTCTCTCTCTCTCCTCTCTCTCTCTCTCTCTCTTCTCCCCTCTCTCTCCTCTCCTTCCTCTCTCTCTCCCTCTCTCCTCTCTCTCTCTCTTCTCCCCTCTCTCTCCTCTCCTTCCTCTCTCTCTCCTCTCTCTCCCTCTCTCCTCTCCTTCCTCTCTCTCTCTGTATTCCCTATCTCCTCTCCTCTCTCTCTACTTTCTCTCCTCTCTCTTTCTCTCTCACACTTTGTCTTACTCTCTTGTCATCCTGCCTTTTAAGAACATAAGTCTTTAACACACACACACACACACACACTGTATTTAAAATGTAGAGTGGGACCATGGCAGTCCCTGTGGGATGTTCACGCAGCTGTGTCAGTGTGTCAGGGAATACAGTCCTGATCTACAATGTAACAGGGATGGATCTCCAACACATCAGATGCTGCCTGATACAAAGAGCCACAAGGGGGTGGGATTCCGTCTGTTTGAAGTGTCAGCAGCAGCCAGGTGTGCTGAGAAAGGACTCCGGCAGGTGCTTTTCAGGGACTGGGCGAGGGGTGCAACGAACAGCAATCCTAACCACATCGCTGCTGATGGACTTAAAGAGAGGCAGTGGTCGCACGTGCCCACGTAACCAGACTCCATCGGAGTGTGCCCTGTGACGGCTGCTGATCATTTTAGGGCAGTCTCTCTCTCTCTGTTAGACAGGGGTACACTCAGATCACCCACTCAACGGGAGCACCCACCAGTCCCGCGGAACAGTGGGCAGCTGCCGCTGGCATCCCCCCACCTCCCACATCACAGCTTTCCCTAGATAAGCTACTACAGCCATGACAGAAGCGCAGGGCATGGCTCCCACCAAACCTCGGTAGAACAAGGAGCCATCTGCTCCCTTCCAGCTGCGAGATCCACCCCTGTCTCCCAGCCAACACTCCTACAACGATCAGCCTTCCCCGTGATCTGCACTTGTGTCACCTCCCCAGGAAGACAGCATGCTCACCTCTGTGGCCGCCACGGAGGGAGTCTACCCCTTCTGGGGGGGCAGCAAAAGAGACCCTGCACCTGTCACCCACACAGCTCAGAAAGGGCAGACCAGGGCAGGAGTCTGCACCCCTTGTTTTAAACACTGTGTTCTGCAGCAACACGCTCCCAAGGAATCCCAGAGCGGGGCAGGTGCTGGAGGCAGCTAGGACCACTTTGGAGCCCCAGGAGACAGGCAGGGGACCTCCAGGGACCATCAGGGCTCATCAAGCTTTGTGGAGTCTGCTTACAGCTGAGCGAGCCTCCCTCCTCCCACTCCTCTGGGCCCAGCTCAGGGCCAGGGACTGGGAAAAGCATCAGGCTGAGAGGGGTGAGTGACCATGCACCTGCAAGGGCTGCTCTGAGGCTGGAAGAAGTTCAAGGCACAGACAAATTACAAAAGGGCGAAGGCTTTGGAGCAGTGGTGAAGGTACCACTCTGTCTGTCCCCTGTCAGTGCTTGGATGCAGCAAGCTCCGCCTCTGATTCCAGCTCCCTCCTAACGTTGCACCCTGGGAAACAGCAGGGGAAGGACTCAGGCCCGTGGATCCCAGCCACCCACCCATCCAATCCACATGGGAGACATAGATTGAGCTCTGGACTCCCAGCTTTGCTCTGGCCTAGCTTTGGCTGTTGCAAGCGTTTGGGGGAGTAACCTAGAAAATGCAAGTTGGCCCCTCTCTCTCCTTGGCAGATAGAAAGTAAATGTGTGGGGCCTGGCGCGACAGCGTAATGGTTAAGCTCTTCGCCTTGAACGCATCGGGATCCCATAGGGGCACCGGTTCTAATCCCGGCAGCCCCACTTCCCATCCAGCTCCCTGCCTGTGGCTTGGGAAAGCAGTCAAGGATGGTCCAAAGCCTTGGGACCCTGTATCTGCATGGGAGACCCAGAAGAAGGTCCTGGCTCCTGGCTTCAGATGGGCTCAGCTCCAGCTGTTGTGGCCACTTGGGGAGTGAACCAGCAGATGGAAGATCTTTCTGTCTCTGCTTCTGTCTATATATGTGCCTTTCCAATGACAGAATCAAAATAAATCTTAAATAAATAAATAAATAAAGTCTTCCCCGTACTTAGAAGTAGCTAGTGGAAAATAAGCAAACTCCATTGCAATCTCAGTGTTGGGGCTCCACTGGGCTTCCTCCAGGCAAGACTCCTGGGTTTGAAGGACTCCCCACTTGCTCTGACCCACAGGAAAACCAGATGATACAGTTATCACTCGCCAGCATGGTCAGCCCTTCCTGCTGCCCAGACACTGCGCTCAGGGCTACAGAGCGAGGGGCTGGTTCCGTCTTCATTGCACTCCCAAGAGAAATCTTCTTTACCCACTTCCACGCACACTCAAGATAGAGAGCGTGTGGCAGTTGCTGCGATGTCCCCCCCAGGACCCCAAGTACACCAAGTTGAGCCAACACCCTCTCTGTTTATGCTAATGTAATTGCTCGTGGTCTTCCAAGGGTGGATCTTGGTTCAGCGCGGGGGGGAAGGCTGTATCCCAGGCAACAGATTGGCACACCTTGATTGCCTCTGTCTGGTGGCATCTGACAGACTTGAGCACCTGTTTCCTCTTCCAGGAGTTCTCAAAGATAGAATCGAGATCTCCATCATCCCAAGCACGCAGGAGGCACGCTAAATCGTTCTAGGATGACAGTTCCACTAGCGGCTGCTAGGTTGAGTCCAGTTGAAGGGCTCTACCTGCTTGGCCCACTTTTCAGAAAAGTGAGTACCTGTCTGTCAGTGGACAGACGAGTGACTGCCTGTTGTATCTGTGACGACGCAGAGAAGTCGCAACACCTGCTCGTCAGGATAAAGACGGCCAGTGTCAGGATGTACATGACATCACCCTTGCCTCCAGCCCAGAGCAACCCACAACCTCTGAGCCAGGAACTGGGGAAGACCACCGTGGCCAGAACAAAGCTGACCCCTGCTGCTGTGCCCCCTTACAGCCCATGCTGGATCATTTAAGGGCACGAAGAGCAGAAGGAGGGGAGGTTCATGGCCATGAGAGGTGGACAGTTTAATTCTCAGAGGGGCTGATGGGGAAGGGCTCCAGGCAGGTGCTGGCATGTGAGCCAAGGCATTCTGCCGCAGGGGCAGAAGGAGCACCAGGCAGAGGGCAGAGCCCGTGTGAAGGACCTGAAGTGGAGTGAGGAGGGCCAACCTGAAGCACAGTGGCAGGAAGGAGCATGGAGTGGCACAAGGAGGCCTATTCTGGATTCACACAGACAAGGATCAGAAGTTACAGATCCTCCTCCCAGGATCCCAACAACCACGGAAACTCAACATTCCTCCACCAGGGGCTACTGTCTTTCCTTGACCCACAGGGCAGGTGGGCCCACATAAGTAGCCACACCTGAGCAGTGAATTCTGAACGCTCACATTTCCAAAATAGTTTTCAACTCCTAGACTCTCCATAGGGTGGCAGTGAGCGCCATGGGCTTAAAGTGTGCCAGGCAAGGGGGACCCAACGACAAGTAAGTTGAGGTTGACCCTACCCCCCCCCCCCTTGAGGCTAGCAGCTTGGGAGGAGACGTGGGTAGATGGGCAAGAAGTATCCAGATGGTGGAATGTGACAGAGAAAGCGTCACCCAAGCTCGAATCTTCAAAAGCCGTTACCTGCCACGGGTCCCACTGCGCAGGACGCTGCCAGGGGTCTCACTCAACAATAAGTACCTTGCAGGATTTGATCCTGCTGCCCAGGGAGCCATAGCAGAGGTGTTAGCATTTGCTGTTAGGATTGTGCGTGTGCACACGTGTGTATAATGTGTCAGAGGTAAGTTGGGTCACTCCTATTCCCACCTGCAACACTTCCACTTCGTGCCACCTGCAAGCTGGCACTAAGTGCACAAGCTGTGTGTGGACCACTCCGTCAGTGTCAGGGGCACCTGCACCGCTGTCCCCACCTTGGCCCAGAGCTGTAGATCAAGCCTTGACTAGCTGCGGCTGCATGACTAACCCCTGGGGACTCATTTCTGCACAAAGTGGAGGAGACGATTGTATCTCAACTTTTAATGACATTTCCGCCCGCCCCCCCCCCCCGCCCCAGGAGTCACGGCAAAGCTGTTGGCTTGTTTGCTTACAAAACTCAGAATTGACTTCCCAGGGGTTGATGATGTCAGCACAGCTCAGCAGGTGTACAAAACAGGTGTCCCCCTGGGCTCACCAATCCCAGTGCAGACATGTTCATCTCCTGTCCCGCAAGGTGGAGGCCATGGCGCTCTGGGCAATAGGCACTGGGAGCCTTGGAGTGAGGGCAGAGAAAGCAGGTTGGGATGAATGCCTCTAATTGCCCGTTCTCCCTACCCTCATGACAGCACTTCATTTGGAGTCTCTGGAGGCTGCTGCTGTCTTTCGCAAGCAGAGTTCGCTGTGAATTGTTTGTTTTCTCTCAGGTCCCCAGACCCAGATTAATAAGCGAGAGGAGAATTAAACAGCAGCCTAGACAGTAGTCTGTATCACATAGATTTGGGCTCAAATCTTGTTCCGTCACTTCCTGGATGGGTGACATGGGTGATGGTAAACGACCCTCTCCGAGCCATTGTCTGAAGTGAACATGCTAATATCAAAATCACCTACATTATGATGCAGCATGTGTCAGCATGCTGTCCCTTTCAAAGACCGATTTGAAAGTCAGAGTTACACAGAGAGAGGAACAGACACAGAGAAGAGAAACCTCCTCCTTCCCCCAAGCGGCCACATTGGACCCAGCCAACGCCAGGAGCCCAGAGCTTCCTCCACGTTTCCCACGTGGGTGCAGGGGCCCAAACACTTTTGGTACTTTCCTAAGAACATGAGCAGGGAACTGGATCAGAAGTAGGACAGCCATGTCTCAAACCAGCACCTATACGGGAATGCCACGATGCCACGATGCCAACCCCAGCTGATTGTCATTTAGCAAATGTTCAATAAGTATTGGGTTTGTCTATTTTTATGGGAAAGGCAAGATTTACAGTGAGAATAAAAGATGGAAAGATCTTCCACAAAGACAGCAGCTGAGCTGATCCAAAGTCAGGAGCCTCTTCCGGGTCTCCCACGTGGGTGCAGGGTCCCAAGGCTTTGGGCCATCCTCCACTGCTTTCCCAGGCCACAAGCAGGGAGCTGGATGGGAAGCGGAGCAGCTGGAACACGAACTAGTGCCCATACAGGATGCCAACAGGGAGAGGAGTAGCCAGTTACACCACCTCACTAGTCCCATAATTTAGTGTCTTAAAGGAAATAAAAAGCACGGTGCGGTTATTTCATTTTTCTACGAACGCATACAACATTTGTCTTTCTGGATCTGGCTTATGATCTCCCTTTTCATGCATTTTATTGCAAATATTAGGAATTTCTATGGCTGAGGGTATACCGTTGTGTATATGTGTGAGATGTGCCTTATCTGGTCATCAGGACATCCGAATTCATTCCATACCTTTGATATTGCGAGCTGATCGGCTATAAATGTGGGGTGCAGTTTTCTCCTTCGTACACCGAACTCACCACAGGCAGTGATTTTAAAATTAGAAGATGGGGCCGTTCAGCAGGTCCATTTTCAGCTCTCTGAGCACTCACCATTCTGACTTCCACAGTGGTTGCGCTAGCCTGCACTCCCACCAGCAGCGAAGGACGGTCCGTTTCTCCCCACATCCACGCCAGCAGGTGTTGTTAGTACAGTTCTAAATGTAGGTAGGTTAATCTCGCTGGAGTGAGGCGGAACCTCAATGTGGTTTTCATTCGTATTTCCGTGACATTTAAGGAGCCTGAGCTTTTTTTTTTTTTTTCGTGTATCTGTTATCATTTGAATTTATTCTTTTGGAAAATATCAATTTCCTTTGCCCATTTCTTCACAGGGCTGTTTATTTGGTTGCTGTCTCTGAGTTTCTGAAGCTCTTTGGAAATCCTAGATATTAGCCCCCTACCGGTTATGCAGTGCGCAAAGATTTTCTCCCAAGCTCTTGCCATGCCTTCTCATTCACCCACGTTGCTGCAGACTTGTTCTCCTCTGGACATAGCTGGTGGCCTCTCCTCCTAAATCCCTTATGATGACCCTGTTCTCGCGACTTGCCCTCTGTCAGAGGCACAGCTGCGCTTGTGAGAAATTAGCAATTAGTCTTACGATTTCTCCCCTAGACGAGCATGGCCAGACTCACTCCCGACACACTGAACTACAACTCCAAGTTGCACAGCAAGGAGACGTTGGGGGCTAAGGATCAAGCACAGCCCTTTAGGGACAACATGGGTTATCAAAGAAGCTTCCAGCAAGTACACCCCGTCTACGTCCTTTTATTTCAAGACTGCATGATGGCTGTTCTCTCGTCTCCAGTTTTCAGCCATTTGATGAGGCTACGTCTAAGTCTGTGTGTGTATAACTTTCTGGAACTTATCTGTCCAGGGATTGGCTGAGCCGTTTGAATCGGAAGCTGGTTGTTGTTCATGATTTCTAGAACATTCTGAGCTTCTGAGACCCATGAGTCACGTACTGGTTAGAATTCTCATCCTTGGTTTCCAGCACCCAGAAAGAACAGTCTTGGAAGGGCGTGTTTTCTTCTACAGTTGCCGGGCGTCCTGAGCGAGGACCTGGCAGCAGCCTCTTTAAAACCAAGCATTCCTTGTGCACCCAGCACCATGCTCAGTCCCTACACTGGGCGCTGGGCAGCATCAGGGCAGCCACAAAAGAGAAGCTACGGAGGACAGCTGGCAAGAGCAGGGTGCAAACGCTTAGCAGGCTCTCCTATGTTCTTATGCACTTCCTCCCCTGGGCAGTGGGCACACTGTTTATTCCAGCAATGCACAAAGGGTAGCTGGGTCGGTGGGCTCAAGGGTGATCCCACGGGGGTCACTGTCCCTCCACCAGCGGCTCCACCCGCAGCCACAGGCCACCCTCGGCGCGCAGGATGAGCTCTGGCTTGCGTCTTGGCTCTGCGCTGTCGGGCAGGATGCGGAAGCGCAGCAGCGTGAGCGCCAACACCACCTTCATCTCGGCCATGGCGAACGCCTGCCCGATGCAGTTCCTGCGGACGGGGAGACATGCGTACTGCACCCTGAGGACCCAGGCCAGAGACCCCCACCTCGCCTTTACGAGCCTGGGGATGGAGGAGGAGGGAGCTCCGCGCATGGGAGGTCCCTACCCCTATCATGGGTTACACCTCGCCTAGCCAGTTCCAACTCAGATCCTACCTACCCTGTGAGAGTTGCTCTATTGCCCTTGCCTAGCTCAGACTTCAGCCCCCCAACTCAGACCTAGATGGGGAAGGGGACTCTGCATTGGGATCAAAGCCAGCAATCCCACCTTGGTCCCTGCAGCTCCTCAGCCTCGCCTCTACACGCCACGACCTCTCCTGGGGTCCCCGCAGCCCCCAGGCACACTGAAAAAGGGGCTCTGAACCACCTAACTGTCCCCAAGACCCTGCTAAGCCCCTGAAACTCGCGACCCCAGGTTGGGCATCGCTAGGCTGCTTCTTATCCCAGCACCCCGCTCCTACCTGGGGCCCGCAGAGAAGGGAATGAAAGCCAGAGGTGACCTCTGCAGGGCCTTTTCCGGATCAAAGCGGGAAGGGTCGTAGACCTGTGGGGGCAGAGGCAGGGCAGAGCGGCTGGGTGGGGTCTCCCAAGACACCCTCCTGCTCCCTGACCCCCTTCTTTCCACCCTCCCCCCCACGGCTCTGGTGGGGGGCGGTGGGTCCGCACCTCAGGGTCCTGCCACACCGAGGGGTTGTGGTGAATCCCAAAGATGCTGATGGCGCAGACGATCCCTGGAGGACGGGGAGGGGGGAAGCAGTCAGGGCGGAGTACGTGCACCAGCAGGACCCCTCACCCTGCCCCTTCCGCAGCGGGCACCTTTGGGGATGACGCGGCCGTCCGGGAGTGGCACATCCTGGGTGCAGCGGCGGGAGATGACCGTGACGGGAGGATGTAAACGCAGGCTCTCCTTAATGCACATGGTCATGTAGGGCAGCTGTGCCAGGTCGTCCCTAAGGAAGCGCCCGGACCATTACCCAGGGAGCAACGTGGAGTCCGCCAGCCTCCCCTTGCCTAACAAAACCCTCCGACACCTGCCGCCAACACCGCAACGCAGCGCGTCACAGAGGAATCAAAATATTTAGGCAGAAGAAAATTTTAAGGACAGTCCTAGAAGAGGAATGGGGGAAGGCTGGTTTTGTTCAGAGCCTTTTCTGAGCAAATCACGGCAACTGGGAGGGGATCCTAGAGAGTGTCCATACACGCCTTAGATTCATGTAAGGAGCTAAAGCAAGGTGGTGGGGGGGTGGAATTCCGAGTTTCCCTGAAGCAATTCGCTCCATCCATACTTTATGCTCGGAGGACTTTGTAAAACACGTGTATTATTTCTAAAGGAGTCCACCTGCTTCATGCAATTCCATGAAAATCTAGCTGGGTACTTTAAGAGAGAGAGAGAGAGAGAGAGAGAGAGAGAGAGAGAGTATAGCAACTAATAGCATCATTACAGGAGCCAGTTTGTCATCTTAAAAATAAAAATGGAGAAACTAGCGGCTAAAGTCCTCACCTCGCATGCGCCGGAATCCCCTATGGGTGACGGTTCTAATCCTGGCAGCTCCACTTCTCATCCAGCTCCCTGGCTGTGGCCTGGGAAAGCATCAGAGGACAGGCCCAAAGCCTTGGGACCCTGCACCCACGTGGGAGACCTGGAAGAAGCTCCTGGCTCCTGGCTTCGGATCGGCTCAGCTCTGGCCATTGCAGCCACTTGGGGAGTGATCCATCAGATGGAAGATCTTCCTCTCTGTCTCTCCTCCTCTCTGTAATCTGACTTTCCAATAAAAATAAATAAATCTTTCAAAAAATACAAATGGAGAGGTGAGCACTGCGTCGAGCTGCCAGCTCTCTCCCCAGCATCCCATATTGGACTACCGGTTCAAGACCCAGCTGCTCCATTTCCAATCCAGTTCCCCGTTCAGGCACCCGGGAAAAGCAGCAGAAGACAGTGCAAGTTCTTGGGCTCCTGCAAAGGTGGGAGACCCAGACAGAGTTCAGGCTCTTGGCTTCTGCCCAGTCCAGCACACAACTGGCCACTTGTGGCTATTTGGGTTAATGGAGCAACAGATGAAAGGTATCTTTCTTGCTCTCTTCCACTCTGCCTTTCGAATAATCTTTCTAAAGTAAATAAGGGAATCTTTCTAAAGATGAAAATTGGAAGAAAAAAGGAATCCAATGTGCTGGATATTAGAAACAATGATAAAGTCATAGCAATAATAACAAGATACAAGGTAGGCTTTTGGTACAGTTAAACTGCCACTTGGGGGCGTTGGCATCCCGTACCAAGTACCCTGCTTGCAAATCCAGATTCCTCCCTGGGCACATCCTGGGAGGTGGGCGGTCACGACTCAAGTGCTTGAACCCTGCCACCCGCAGGGAAAGCCAGACAGAATTCCAACTTCCCCTGCCCCCTCGTTTCAGTCTCATCTGATCTGCTTGGCCATTTAGGTTTTCTCTCTCTCTCTTTCCTGTTTATTTATTTATTTATTTTTATTACAAAACCAGATATACAGAGAGGAGGAGAGACAGAAAAATCTTCCCTCCAATGGTTCACTCTCCAAGTGACCGAAACAACCAGAGCTGAGCTGATCTAAAGCCAGGAGCGTCTTCCGGGTCTCCCACGCGGGTGCAGGGTCCCAAGGCTTTGGGCTGTCCTCCACTGCTTACCCAGACCACAAGCAGGGAGCTGGATGAGAAGCAGGGCTGCCGGGATTAGAACCGGCACACATGTGGGATCCCGGTATGAATTTCCCCAATCACAGAAGAGAAACGTGATTCCAAAAAGAGAGTTGATTGGACGGATGTCATCCAGCGAGTCAGTGGCAACAGAAGTGTAAACTTCTGGAATCCTTCTGGCCCCCTAAAGCCTGCACTCACCATTCAATGTCCTTCGGGTCCCGGTCTCTCAGGAGCTCCTGCACCTCTCGCCGGCAGCGCTCCTGGTATTCCGGGTGCCTCGCAAGGTTGTACAGGAGCCAGGAGAGGCCGCTGGCTGTGGTGTCGTGGCCTGAGGAGCAGATCAGCAATGCTCACTTGGCCACATGGCTTTAGCGCTGGACGGCAAACAGCACCCAGGCATGGAGGACCCCCTGGGATGGATGGGAGGGGACTGAAGGATCCAGGCTCCACCCACCGGGGGATGGAAAGGCACCTGCCCCACTACATTCCCTCACCCCCAAACATGAAGGTATCCGCCTCTGCCCGTATGTCCTTGTCAGACAACTCCTTTCCATCTTCCCCCTAGGGACAAATACACCAGCTCTTTTGGCACCCGAGTCTACCCTAACACTCGTCATCCAGGAGGGACCTCTCCCACTTCTTTACAGCTTGCCGCCCCTCGCCGTAAAGGCCTTCTGCCTCCTGTTGGCCACTCCCAGGCGTCTTCCTACAGCCAACACTGAAAACCATCGCTGCCTCTTTCTCGCGCACCTGCCAGTCGAGCTCAACTCCTCCCACCTGACCTCTGACACCAACGTCCACACCAGCTCGTCGGTTGTGGCTCCCACCTTGCTCAGCAGGAGCACGTCGATAAAGTCCAACGTCTTGGCCTTGGCCTTGGCCTTGAGGAAGGCGTCTGAGCCCTGGCTGGCCAGAGCACCGCGTCGCTCTTGGATGACGGCGTCTGTGAAGCGGTGCACCAGGTCACAGGCCTTGAGGAAGCGCCGCCCGTCGGGAGTGAGGTGGTACAGGAAGTCCAGGAAGAGCAGAATCTGCTGGTTCCGTTTCACCGTGAGAGCGCTGAGATCCAAGATGGCGGCTATATACTCGCTGGGTTTCCTGGAGACGGAGGCCAGAGGTGGGAAGCCAGCCCTGGAGGCATCTCTGGGACCAGCTCCTGGGCATCAGACTCTCTCTCTCTCTCTCTCTCTCTCTCTCTCTCTCTCTCTCTCTCTCCCTCCCTTCCTCTCCTTCCCTGCCCCTCCCTCCTTGCTTTCTCTCAAATCCAACCAGGTTTCTCCGTGAAGCTCACAGCCCCGCCTACCCTTACATCCCGTATCTCCATGACCCCGGTCTTCTAGAAAGAGAGAAAAAGGACCAACGCTGTGACATAGCACAGGAAGCCACTGCCTCCAACACCAGCATCCCAAATAGACAGCAGTTCAAGTCCCGGTTGCTCTACTTCGGATTCAGTTTTCCAACTAATGCATCTGGGAAAGTAGCGGAAGAGGGTCCAAGAGTTTGGGCCCCTGCAGCCATGTGGTAAATCTGGATGAAGCTCCCGGCAGCTGGCTCTGACCTGGCCCCAGCCCCATTTGCTGCAGATGTTTGGGGAGCGAACCAGTGGACGGAAGATTCTCTTTCTCTCTTTCTCCCTCTCTATAACTCTGCCTTTCACATAAATAGCATAAATCTCTCTCTCTCTCTCTCTCTCTCTCTCTCTTCATTAAAGAGAGAGAGAAATCCAAGTTAATCCCTGATTAGCACTCACATTCAATTTCAAAGCCTTTCCGTGGCTTCCCCGAACCCCCAAGCATCAAATTCACTCCGCTCTGGCTGACTTCTCCTGCCCTTAAGATCAAGACAGTGCTCACCCCCCAACCTCATTTCTAAGATGTCTTCTGCCCCTCACATCCTGGCGTTCACTCAACATTTCCACACACCTGAAAAGACCTAAAAAGATCTCTTTCTCACTCCTCCTCCTTGTCTTTTCATACCCACACTTCACCCACCTCTCCAGGAAGTCTCTCCTGGTTGCTGGTCTGTCCTCTCATCCCACCACCTTCTCCCTTGGGCCCTTGACCCAAGTTCCCCATGTCCCGAGCAAGCACTCACTCCTGACAGTTGCTGTCGTAGCTGAAGATGCATTTCTGCAGACTGTCCAGGGTCATGAGGCTGATGTGCTCAAACATGTCCAGACGGGCGCTGCCCTCAGAGGCCAGGCGCTGCCATTTGGCCTGGCCATGGAAGAAAAGAGAGGTGGGCACTTCCCCCAATCCCTACCATCAGGCGGGAGTGACCCAGGACCACCCAACTCCTGCTATATCACACACCCAACTCCGAGGAAGGCCAGACTCGAGTGGAAGCAGAAATTGTTACTACCTAGATGCCTACCCAAAGCTTGGAGCCAGCTCTGCCTCCGGTACCCCTGAGTACTACTAGGGAAACTCAACATCCTCCCCTGACCTACACCAGGTTGGATAGGACACCTGCTCCAGCACTCCTGGCAGGGTAAACTTGGGAAAGCTGCGTCATCTCTCTCTGACCCTCCGTGTCACAATGTGCAGTGGGCTAAACAGAGTGTGCACCCACAGGGTCTCACACACACACACACACACACACACACACACACCACATGGCGCAGCCTGTGCCACAGCATCAGCAAACGCTGAGTCATCAGGACCATTGTCAATGTTAGGCTCCCTTGCTCAGCCCTAAAGCAAAGCTGAGCGGCGCCTGCTGTGAGGAGGCGCAGCCTGCTTTTCCGTGCCTAGAATCTGAGCTGCACACTCAGGCTGGATTCAGCCAGCGGAGCATAGCAAGGACGCAGCTGTGCAAGCTCGGGTGGTAAGCCTTGGAAACTCCCGAGGTTAGCTTCTCTAGAAATCAGCCCTTTGCTGTGGACCTCTCCCAGCTCAGCCCAGCTTGCTGGAGGCTCGGGGACAAAAGGGATGAATCCGCTCAGTCAGCCAAGACCAGCGAGTGTTTCAAAGGGTGCGTTGTCCAGCGACCACGCCGGGCTCGGCAGGACTTTGTAGAGTTTATAAGGCTTCACTCAGAGAGGGGCCATTGGTGCACCTGCTGTATGTGGCCAAGTCACTCCAAGAGCAGCATCTCGACTCGTCTCTTAAAGTGGGAAGTACTTGTCCCACACAGGGGTGGGGCAAGGCTGCAATAGTCCTAGAGCCACCACCATCCTTATCCTCCTCCGGTCCCTGCCCTGAGCCAGGGGTCCAGATCCCAGCTGTGGGACACTCACGTGCATGATGCTTGCACTCTTGCTGAAAATCCTCACGTAGGGCTTCAGGATGTTGAAGTGGAAGGCGGGCGTCAGCATGCGGCGATGGCGGTTCCACTTGTCCCCGGAGCTCAGCAGAAGCCCGTCCCCTGGCAGGCAGGGAGACAGCATTATCACCTTCTCGGGGTAACTCCCCAAGGTGGGGTCCCCCGCCCGCTCCTCCCGCTGTGGCAACTCACCCAGCCACGGCTTCAGGAAGTCGTAGAAGTCCATGTTCTTACAAATGGCCGCAGCTGACATGAGCAGTGAGCGTCAGCAACCATGAGAGGGGAGGGGAGGGATTCTGCAAGGGTCAGGGATGTGGGGCCTCCCAGAGAAAGGTGTGTGCATGGCAGGAATGGGGGGCGGGCAAGGGTAGAGGAAAGAGGAGATGGGGTACAGGGACCAGAGCAGGCAGCAGCAGCAGAGAAGGGCAAGGGCACAGCCAGAGCTGGCACAGCACTACCCAATATGTTCTGCAATTCTGGGGCCAGTGCAGCCTTCACAGGACATCTGGACCCAGACCTGGGATAGCTGTTTGTCCTTACATGGCCCCCCCTTGTATATGACCTTCTCAGACATGACACACACATTCTAATGCGTACACAAGACCGGTTATCATCATGGCAGCCTGCCGCACGCATGAGTTCCACACACTGTTTAAATGTGGCACTTGGAGGCTGGTGTGGTGGCCCAGCAGCTTAAGCTGCCATGTGCAGCACCACCATCCCCTATGGGGACCAGTTCAAGTCCTGGATGTTCCATTTCCAAACCAGCTCCCAGCTAGTGCACCTGGGAGTACAGCAGTGCTTCCCTGTATCCATGTGGGAAATCCAGAAGAAGCTTCTGGCTCCTGGCTTTTGGAGGCCATCTCAGAAGTAAACCAGCAAAATAAAGACCTCTCTCTCTGTCTCTCTCTCTTTCTCTGCTTTTCAAATACATAAAATCTTTTAAAAAATAAAGCTTAGGGCCAGTGCTGTAGCATATCAACTTAAGCTGCCATCTGCAATGCCAGCATTCCATACGGGTGCTGGTCCAAGTCCCAGCTGCTCCACTTCCAATCCAGTTTCTTGTTGATGAACCTTGGAAAGCAGCAACAGATGGTTCAAGCGTTTGGGCCCCTATATCCACCTCTAATGAGAAACCCAGAAGAAGCTCCAGGGTTCTGGCTTTGGCCTAGACCAGTCCCAGCCATTGCAGCAAATCAAATTTTCTCTCTCTCTCTCTGACTCTGTCTTTTAAATAAATTAGTATATCTTTTCAAAAGATAAAATTCTTCATTCTTTTTTTTTTAGTCACCTTCATAATAAAGATTAAAAACACATGGTGGTTGGAAGGTGGCATTTGCTCAGCAGTCCAGCCTGTGACCCATGTCAGGGCCTGGCTATGATTCCCACTTCTGGCTGCCAGCTCCAACCCCTCTACTGATAGTCAGTAATGATGGCTCTAGTGACCAGGTCCTGCTGCTGATGGGGGCACCTTGGGAGGGAGTCCTCGGGTCCTGAATTCAGCCCTGACCCAGCACTGAACGGTCTGGGTCTCTCTGTTCTTTGTTCCGTCTGCCCCTCAGATAACGTTTTTATCTGATTTATCCGAAAGGCAGAGCAACAGAAAGAGAGACAGACAGATCTTCTATACACTGGTTCATTCCCCTCAAATAACCACGATAGCCAGGAACTCCAGCCATCTTAATCTGCCACCTACCTCGGTTTCAGAGAACCAAGCACGTCACCTGTTGCCTTCCCAGCCACATCACCAGGAAACTGGATCGGAAGCAGAGCAGCCAGGACTCAAACAGGCACTCTAATATGGGACACTGGCACTGCAAGCAGAGGCTTAATGCACTCTGCCACAACACCCAAACCACACAAATTTAACAACCCAGGGGCAGCCCAAACATCTTCCTCCTTAGCCCCACACTTTGCATGGGGTCAGAGGTCCTGCTCTTTTTTTTTTTTTTTTTTGAAGATTTATTTATTTTTGTTGGAAAGTCAGATATACAGAGAGGAGGAGAGACAGAGAGGAAGATCTTCCATCCGGTGGTTCACTCCCCAAGTGGCCGCAATGGCTGGAGCTAAGCTGATTCGAAACCAGGAGCCTCTTCTGGGTCTCCCACACGGGTGCAGGGTCCCAAGGCTTTGGCCTGTCTTTGACTGCTTTCCCAGGCCACAAGCAGGGAGCTGGATGGGAAGCAGGACCTCCCACCCATATGGGATTCCAGAGCATGCAAAGCAAGGACTTTAGCCACTAGGCTACTGTGCCGGGCACTAGAAGAGGCTCTGCTCTCAAGGAGACTGGAGTGTGCCACCTCCTAGGTCCACAGGCTCCCCCACCTACCAATAGCAGCTGCCTGCTCCCTGACTCTAGTCACCAAAGAAGCACCCAGAACTGACCAGGCCTCGCAACCACTTCAGTCTACCCTCTCCATACACTGGACATACCCTCCCCCCCAGATCACCTTCCAACTGAGGGTCCCCGCCGCCTGCCATGAGAGGCAGCCAGGTCGACCCAGGGAACACAGCACACAGGGAGAGGGCTTGGAATGCTGTGTAGCCTTGAGAAGCACCTGCCTGAACCTCTGGCTGCTTTCCCAGGAGCCATGTGCCTGCCAAGGATGTCGGTGGATGGACACTTCCGCTGTCTGTCTGCCCAGTGTGCATCATGCCCTTCTCTTAGGCTCACCCCAACCCTGGCAGGCAGGGCACAGCGATCAGTGTGAGGAGGAAGTCCCAGGGCCCAGCCCAGGCAACTTCAAGGAAACCTAGGGAATTTTCCCACCTTGGAAAGTGGCCTTCTAGGCTCTGTCTCTATTGGCGTAAGACAGAAGCTGCCACAGAGGGAAGCAAGCTAAGAGATGAGGGCTCAAGGCACGAATGATTGGAAGAGCTGCCTCCAGCCGACACTCCCCGAAGACTCAACAGGTGCCCTTCGCCTGCTCAAATCACATGGGGCCAAGTCTCCGCAGCTCACCCCGGGGCAGAGATCAGCGGCCAGGGAGCCGGACCCACCCAGTCGCCCACCAGAGCCACGGTGGCTGTCTGCTGCTGCTGCCTGTCTGTCTGCTCAGCCTGACTGGTCCAGAGAGGGGTCAAAGGGCAGGAAAGAAACTGGGTGGGGTAGAGGTAGGGAATGCTTCTAGAAGAGATACCTGGAGCCTGCAGCAAGGGAGCCACGAAGTTAGGGTGCACGAGCCGCAGCACGGGGTAGAGGGGCCCTAACCACCACAGATGGATGTCACGAAAGTGGTATGCCAGCTCCGATACCAGTCGCATGCCCTCCTCGTTGCTCTGTGCCTGGGGAGGGGCAAGACTGAGGCCAGGCCTGGCAGGGGGCCTTGGTTGCTCCCACCACTCCTCTCTGCCCAACCGCCCCGCTCAATCCCTCTGCCCCGATAATTGGTCTACAGGTTCTGCCAAATCTTCTTGGTCCCTCACTTGGATGGAAGCAAGCTTGACAGATTATAGAGACAGATCATTAGAGAGCTAGATAACTAGATGATGAACTTATAGATAAGTAGATAAATGGAAAATATAAATAGTAGATAGATAATTAGATAAAGATAAGCAGATATGTGGATGCATGGCTCAATGGATGGGAAGATGAAAGATCAATCATAAATAAATTGATAGGACTTAGATAAATCATAAGTAGGTAGACAGATGATTAATAGTTATGTAGATAAAGAAGATTGATAGATGATTAGATGGTTATATAGGTAGGTGGTGGATGCCTGGATGGATGGATGGGGTGGGTGGATGGAGGAATGGATGGATGGATGGATGAGTGGATGGATGGGTGGGTGGATGGATGGATGGATGGGTGGGTGGATGGATGGATGGATGGATGGGTGGATGGATGGATGAATGGATGGGGTGGGTGGATGGAGGAATGAATGGATGGGTGGGTGGATGGATGGATGGGTGGATGGGTAGGTGGATGGATGGATGGATGGATGGATGGATGGATGGATGGATGGATGGATGGATGGACGGGTGGATGGATGGGTTGATGGATGGATGGACGGATGGGGTGGGTGGATGGAGGAATGGATGGATGGATGGATGGATGGGTGGATGGGTGGGTGGATGGATGATGGATGGATGGGTGGATGGATGGATGGGTGGATGGGTGGGTGGGTGGATGGATGGATGGGTGGATGAGTGAGTGTGTAGGTAGGTAGATAAGGCAGGTAGATGTGGATAAGGGAAAGGCATATAGCAGGGACAGAGGCTGATTGACAGAACTCATCACAATGGAAGAAAGACGGAGATGGGAGACTAGGACTGAGACGGATGCCCACACAAGGCTGCACAGGTAACCCGGATCCAAGCGTGCGCGTGTCTACCTGTACTGTCTGTTTCTTTGACTCCCTGTGTGTCTGTCTCCATCTTTTCCCTCACTTCTCCCTGGGGAGGAGGACTGGGATATAGAGGAATGTTAGACAGTAGGAGGCAAACAAGGACCCTTCTGCAGGGAGGAACAGAAGCACACTGGAACCGATGGCGTGGGAGGCAGCACCCTCACAGCAGCTGTCCAGGGCTTAGGTTGGGCCTCTGGGGAGAGGAGGGCGGTGAGGGAACCAGATTGCACCCCCACTGGGCTTCTGTCGATACATCTTGAAGACCAAGACCCAGGAGCCAGAGGAAGTGGCAGAACATGCCACCTTCCCTCCCAGCTGTAGGGAAGTGACAGCCGTTATCCGAGGCCAAGAGAAACGGCAAGGGTCAGGGAGGGAGGCCCTTGGAGGAGTCCACAAGAAGGCCTGGACTCCAAGCGGGGAAGAGGCTGGGGTGGCCAGGGATCCCTGCTGTGTGCATCTTCTTCACGATTCATCCTCCTGCCCTGAAAGGCAGAGTGATAGAGGGATGGGCAGGAAGAAACAGAGAGGAGAGAGATTTTCTATTCACTGTTCAACCGCCAATGAAACAGCTGTCAGAGTTGAGTTTATTCGCACCAGGCCAAAGCCAGGAGCTAGGAGTTTCATCTAGGTCTCTCACATGGGCGCCAGGAGCCCAAGCCCTTGGACCGGCCTCCTCTGCTTTCCCAGAGTTTTGGAGCAGGGAGTTAGTTGCTGCATCAGGGGGCGGGTTTTGCAGAGTCGGATCGGAAATGCGGCAGCCAGGACACGAAGCAGGGCTCCAGCAGAGGATAGGGTCATCAAAAGAGTGAGTTTCACTCACCGTGTGTCACAACACAAGATGCTCTCCACTCCCCCTCCCCCGCCAGGAATGTAAACGGAACAGGCGTGGGATGGGGACGAGGATAGAAGAGCAAGGTCACAGGGCTGGGGCGCCAGCAGAGAGGAGAGGAGGGACAGATCGCCATGGGCGGCCCTGGTGTCTCCCTGCTCTTCTTACTGTCCTGGACTCTGGCTTGTTTCCAGATTCCCCTCCTCCTCCTCGGGGTCTCCAGGCACCCAGGACACTCGAGGCAGGCCTCACTCACCACACCCAAGTGACCCAAGAACCAGTTCCGTCTCGGAGGCTGTGAGAAGCACCGGAGGCGACAGCAGTTGTTGTAGAAGACGTAGATCCGGGTCAGGATGCGGGCCAGGAGCCAGGAGGCGCTGATCAGCAGCAGCAGGAACAGCCACGGAGAGACCGACCTTGGCCCCAGGCCCAGCCAGGACAGGCTCAGCTGTGGCATCCTGCTGGGCAGGTGCACAGGTTTAGCTCCAGCAACCTGGGGAAAAGAGGAGGGAGCTCGAGGGGAGGGGAGAGGGGCAGGGAGAGCTCAGAAGAAGGAAGTGGGATTAGAAAGAAAAGGGAGAGAGAGAGAGAGAATGGATCACACCGCCCAGGAACGTAGCCAGGGCTCAGCTGCCTGGAAAACGTGAGTCTCAGAGGCCAGCTAGCTCCCAGGAGCCGCCCAGCTCAAAGCAAGGACCCGGCCCTCAGTCAGATCCCTCCAGTACCACCGAGGTCCACCGCCTGGTACCTTCTGTAAACAGCAGTTTGTCTCCCACGGGGAGATCTGTGCCCCAGGTCCCTGTGCAAGGCGGAGCCGGACGGCAGTCCACAGTCACCAATCCTGAAGGAGGACCCGGCTGCCTCCACCCACCTTTCCTCCCCGCCCATTTCCTCCCACCGCCCCGCTGCTGCCAGCTCCAGGGCAGGCAGCCAAGCCACCAGGGGGTGGGGCCAGCTTTGGCTCTGGGTCACAGACTCTGGGGCACAAGGCTCCTGGGGAGGCAAAGCCTGCTCCAGCCAAGGGCGGAAGGTACTCTGGGCCCCAAGTTGACAACTCCTCACTGTCCATCCAAGGCCGACGGTGGGAGGGGAGGGGCAGCGGGCTAAAGCATGAACTTGAGACGGACTCAGAAGAGGTTGCTCTGCAGAAGCACGGGCTGGGAGGACACAGGACAGTCGTCACCCAGTCTCAGAGCATGGGGGCTGAAGGAGAGCTGGGCCCAGGCCAGGGACCCTGCATGGGGGTCTTCTCTCATTTTGCCCATGGGCAGCCCCAGCCATTTCTGCAAACCACCTTTCCCCGTGGACCTCAAAGAGGGAGTCGTCCATCTTGTTTGTCCAGACTCTGTCCTGATGTGCCGAGGGGTGATCTTAGTTCATCCACACAGTCTCCCCAAGAAGGAGGTGAAGAGTGCTCGTGTTGAGTGACCGAGCTGGGAGAGGACAGGGCTGCCGCAGAAGGGCAGCATGCTGGGGAGAGGGCCAGACTCTGCTTCCGCCCATGTGCTGCCCAGTCCCTTGCGGTTCTGAAGGATCCTGGAGCCCTCAGCCACCCCAAAATTCTCATCCCTTCTTCTTGGAGGGACGCAGGAGCAGGGAACTCCAGAGACCAGTCAGGGGTCACGCCAGGGTTTTAGAAAGCAAGGCAGAAAGCAAGGGACCGCAGAGCCAGAGGAAGTAAGGAGGCAAGAGGAAACGAAGGATGGCAACTCGCTCCAGGCACACAGCAAAATCATCCAACACGGGCCCAGCGCAGTAGCCTGGTGGCTAAAAATCCTCACCTTGCAGGCACTGGGATCCCATATGGGTGCCAGTTTGTGTTCTGGCTGCTCTGCTTCCCATCCAGCTCCATGTCTGTGGCCTGGGAAAGCAGTCGAGGATAGCCCCAAACCTTGGAACTCTGCACTCCCCTACATGGGAGACCCAGAAGAAACTCCTGGCTCCTGGCTTCATACCAGTTCAGCTCTGGGTCTTGTGGCCACTTGAGTGACCCAGCAGACAGAGAAAAATATCTATATTCAACAGGACACAACACATGGGAAAGAGAATCTCAGGTCCCAGTAACTATGGTCAGGCTAGCAGGGACTTCTGCAGCCGAGGGCACTGAGAAATAGCCACTCATCCTGTGGTTCTGGAGCCCAGCACTGGCCTAGCTAGTACCTCTCAGAAACAAAATCGTGTGTTCTAGTACCAACCCTGCAAATTGTGCCCAACTAGGGAGTCAAGCAATGGATGCAAGATCTCTCTGTGTGTCGTTTTTCTCTGTAAACCTTTCAAATAAAAATAAATAGGGCATAGTGCCTAGGGCTGGCTCAATTAGCTAAACCTCCAAGATCACATATGGGTTGTGTTCTGGCTGCTCCACTTCCCATCCAGCTCCCTGCCTGTGGCCTGGGAAAGCAGTGGAGGACGGCCCAAAGCCTTGGGACCCTGCACCTGCTGGGGAGCCCCTGGCTCTTGGCTTCGGATCGGCTCAGCTCTGACCATTGCGGCCACTTAAGGAGAGAATCAGCAGAGGAAAGATCTTTCTCTCTGCACCCCTTCTGTGTATAAATCTTCCTTTCCAGTAAAAATTAATAAATGTTTTATTTTTTTTAAAAAAAGAAGTGTTTGCAAAGGGCACACGATGAAAAAAAAAAGGAGGGCATTTTCTTTAAATCTGTGCATCAAACTAAAATGTGTATATTAATTGTATTTTCAGTGAACTGTTGGAAAGCCCTCAGTATGATGCAGATGTTTAGACAACCACAGGTTTGCACACTTGTCTCCCGGAGGGGTGGGGTGGGTGCTGAAGTCTCATTTAGTCTCCAGGATGCTGTGCTGAAGTCCTTGGAGAGGCAGGACTTGATGGGGGACGTGTGGGGGTCGAGGATTTGGGGGAGTGGGTCTGAACAGGGATTGGTTCTGGTGTCAGAGTTAGTTCTCTGGTTCTTGAGCCTGGGAGAATCAGAAAGCAGCGGTAAGAGCTCAGGTACCTGGGTGATTCGGAATGAGCTCCTCATTTCAGCCTGGCGCAGGTGACAGCGCCTCCCACGCACGCACTCGCTTGCACACACATCCGTGCACACCGTCTCTCAGACGCAGAAGGTGGTGGTCCCCACCCCGGGCGCACACAGCAGCAGGTGCAGGTGCGCGGGAGACTGTCGTCTGCGGATCTGGCGGCAGAGGGAGCCTCCGCCACGCTCTGCAGTGGGACGCGCCGCCCTGGGCACGCGGCATTAAGACGGACAGCGCAGCTACAGCAGGGTCCCTGGGACCCAGGAGCTCTGCACCCACCACCCACTCCGTTCCTCCGTCTCGCATTCACCCACTCACGCGGCCCTTAGCGGAAACTTCAACGTGCATTCCTACATAGAGCTGCCTCTTGGTTATTTGTACTGTAGGCTGACTGTAGGTTTGCAGACGGTGTTGGGAGAACGGTGCGCTCTCCGTGACCTTCTGTGGGGGCGAGGAGAGTGGAAGAAACACCACCGGCAAAAGCCAGGACGAGGACGCAAGGACCTCAATCGCTTGGCCGTGAGATTCCCGCCGACGATTCCAGAACCAGCCGCTGGGGTGCACCCAAGGCTTTCGCCTCGGCCATCTGAGCGGAGGGAAGGACACAGGAATGGATGTGTGGAAAGAGGGATGGATGGGCGGAAGGATGGATGGAGGAAGGGAGGGAGGGATGGGGGATGGATGGACAGAGGGATGGATGGGTGGGTGGATGCATGGGTGCATAAGGCCAAGAGACCAAGAGACGAGCAGAGATCTTCCATTCTCACAGCAGGTGAAGCTGGATCAGGCTGAACCTAAAAGCCAGGAATTCAATCCAAGTCTCCCAGCGGGGCGGCAAGGACTCAGGCTGCCACCTGCTGCCTCTGGGAATGCCCACTAGCAGGGAGCTGGAATGAAGCCGAGGGCTCAAGCCCCATGCACTCTGATAGGGATGAGGGATCTGTCGTGGCCTGCCCCTTCCCTCCTACCTCAAACCTCGGTGGAGATGAACCCCTTGGCTAAAATCACCCCCCTTGACCCATACTCCTCATTCTGTCTTCACTCACACACACCTCCTTTTTTTTTTTTTTTTTAAATGAAATCAGCACCATAGCACATTAGGTAAAACCTCCACTGGCAGTACAGGTATCCCACAGGCACTGGTTCAAGTCCGGGTTGGTCCAGCTCCCTGCTAAAACATCTGGAAAAAAACAACCAATAATGTTCCAAGTGCTTGGGTCGTGCACCCACATGGGAGACCCAAAAGAAGTTCCTGGCTTCAGACCAGCCCATCTCTAGCCATTGTAGACATTGGGGAACGAACCAGTAGCTGAAAAATCAATTTATCTATCTATCCATCTATCTATCATCTATCTCTTTAACTATACCTTTCAAATAAAGTTAATTAAATAAAAAAGATTCGTTGTGGCCCGCACGGTGGCTCAACAGGTTGATCTTCCACTTGCAAGCGCTGGCTTCCCCTGTGGGCACCAGTTCATGTCCCAGGTGTGTTATTTCCCATCCAGCTCCCTGCCTGTGTCCTGGGAAATCAGCTGAGGACGGACCAAAGCCTTGGGACCCTGCACCCGCATGAGAGACCCGGAAGAGACTCCTGGCTCCTGGCTTCAAACTGACTCAACCCCAGCCTTTTGCGCCCATGTGGGGAGTGAACCAGCAGGCGGAAGGTCTTTCTGTCTCTCTGTAAATATGTCTTTCAAGTAAAAATAAACACATCTTGTTTTAAAAAAAAAGAGTTGCTTTATTTATTGCAAGGTAGAATTATAGAAAGAGCGGGAGAGAGATTGTCCATGTGCTGTTTCGTTTCCCCAGATGGCTTCAGCAAAGCCAGAAGGCAGCAGCTACTTCCCAGTTTCCCATGGGAGTGCCGGGGCCCAACCCTTGGGCCACGTCCTACTTTCCCAGGAGCAATAGTGGGGGCAATAGTGGGGGCGGAGAGGTCTGGATGGGAAGTGGAGCAGCTAGAACTTGAACCAGTGTCCATATGGTCCCCAAGCCTGGCCCCACCAGCCTGCCAATAAGTTTTCCGAGTTTGCCCCCGTTTTCCCCTTCCCTATCATCCACTCGGCTTCTGCTCCCACTCCAGTCCCCATTCCCTAGTCACATTTCACCCAGCACCTGAGGTCTCCTGTTCCCAGCACCTGTCACGGGCAGAGGCTTCTGTATGAAGTCATCGGCTCCTGCCACAAGCGAGGCTTGAGCCCCGTCTGCGCCCCAAGTGACGTGTTAAACCAAAGAAGGAACAGCAGCAAGTGAAAACCTGAAGTTTATGGCCTAGGACCAACCTTCCAGAGCCCACAGCTGTTGGCACAATGGCGTCCCACAGGCTCCAAGGCATCTGTACCCACCCTAGGGTTCTAGGTGCCTGGGTCTGGCTGAGCTGAGCTGGGCAGGGAGGAAGGGGAAAGGGGGTGCCTGTTTGACTTTGCTTTTATTCTTCAAAACTCAGAAGGCTCAGCGAAGGAAGAGCAGGGATGCATATTGCAACACAGTAACAAAAGGCAAAGTTTCAAGCCCGCAGCAGTCCCCAGTCTGGGAGGTAGGTCCTAGGTCCCCCCCCCCGGGACGGACCGACGGCTCAGTGTGTGGAGCCTGGGGAACCGCATGGCAAAGGAACCGGGGCCAGAGGGCGGTGCCCACGCCTGGTAGCCTCCGGTGCTAGGCAGGTGCAGAACTAAGGAAGCTAGACTGGACCTCAAGGTGTCAGACCAGCGACTCGGTGGGCAGAGCTTTTGCCCAGAGGAGCGTGGTTGTCACCCTCAGGCTGTGGTCTGGGATCTCAGCAGCTTGAGGGAGGATCTGGGGAACCGGGATCCGCTGGATCCCTGGGGAATGTGACCTAGTCTGATCCTTCAAGTGGAACAGCAGGTGGAGGAACTTAGGGTTCGGACCTCAAGGGGCGGGGTGCGCCTCAGGGGCGTTGCTAGCACCATCAGGCTGCTTCGTTAGTGGAGCCTGGTTCTCCCAGAGTAGATCCTGGACTGGGAAGGGCGTCTCTGGAGTTGAGCTTGGAGGCGGCTCCTGGACCTCGGGGGTGTCCGCAGGCAGGTGCGCGCGCCGCACGAGGGCAGCGGTCAGGCCCGAGGAGTGAGCGGCTCCACGTTGAGCCAGATGCCGTTCTCCGTGCGCAAAATGAGCTCGGGTTTCCGCCGCACCTTGCGCGTTCTATCCACGCTCAGACGGAAGCGCAGCAGCGTGAGCGCCACCACCACGCGCATCTCAGCCATGGCGAAGCTCTGTCCGATGCAATTCCTTGGGGGGGTAGGGAAGTAAGAGAAGGAGGGCTCAGGCCTGGGCGAGCCTCGTGGGCTGGATGGAGACAGGTCTCAGGTAAGTCACCGTGGGTTGGGGTCCCCGTGATGACATCCCTGGGTAGCGCGCCCTTGCGGACATGACCTGCCCCTCTGTCAGGAGCACGTGAGCCCAGAGCTGGGAGCCTGGGAGACAGCAGATGCTCAAACAGCAGGTGGCAAGTTGGAGGGGTCCTCCTGGTGCGTGAGGGAGAGACGGAGCGGGGCACATCCCACAGCTCCCATGGGTCCTGCCCCTCCCATACCTGGCTTGGGTGCGGCTAGGGACAGATCCGTTACCTGGGTCCCGCGGAGAAGGGCACGTAGGCCAGCGGAGAGCGCTGCTGGGGGGTGTCGGGGTCAAAGCGATAGGGGTTGTACACCTGGCCAGGAACACGCTGCTGGTGAGGCTGGGCCAGCCCGGCCTCTAGGAAGTCCTCTTGTGTCATACCCCACCCTATCCCCCAGTCCCACTCGCTACAGCCCTGCCTGGCCCTTCGGGGGCTCGTGGTGGGCGGCTTCCTCTGCCCGGATCAGACTGCTCCTCGCGCCACAGACACGCAGCTCCCCACGCCCTGACCCCATCCCGCAGTCCTGGCTAAGCACCTGCTTCTGGGCAAGACCACTCCGGACCCCCCTCTCCCCGCCCCACCTGCCCCGTTCTAACATCTTTTGCGCCTTAACCCATGGCCAAAATAAGCTTAGTTGCAATCTGCTTCTCACTGCGAGATCCACCAGGACCCAAACCATATCCGCCTCTCTCTGGGTGCCCATCGTAAGCCTGGCATACAGCGGATGTTCAGTAAAAATTTATTGGGGTGCAATAAATCAGGCCACTACTTACACCACCCAGCACTGTTGGAGGGCAGTTTTCTAATTCAGCTTTTACTGCCAGTGAGCCTGGGACCACAGCAGAACATGGCCCAAGTGTGTGGGCCCCTGGCACCCAGGTAGGAAACCTTGGATGGAGCTCCTGGCTCCTGCCTTCAACATGGCCCATCCCTGGCTTGTGTAGCCAATTAAGGAGTGGTCCAAAGGATGCGAGAACTCTCTCTCTCTCTTTCCTTTCTCTCTGTCACTCTGCCTTTCAAATAAATAAAAATCTATATTCATAAATAAATATGTGTTGACCTAATGAATTGACAACCCTACTGTATAATTCCCTGGGAGATGGAAGGCAAGGAAAGGAACAGCCCTCTGCCCCAAATTTCTCCCTCAGGGAAAGATGGAGTTTGAGCCCAGGGAGGTTTGGTCCAGGAGCTCACCTTGGAGTCGGGCCACACTGTGGGGTTGTGGTGAGTCCCGTAGATGCTGACCAAGCAGATGATTCCTGCGGGACAGGTGGACACAAGTGGGGATAGGACAGAACAAGTGGATAAGGTTGGCACAGGTGGGACGAGTGGAAACAGGTGGGCACAGGTTGGCACAGGTGGCACAGGTGGGCGCAGGTGAATCCAGGGGAGCAGAGTGGGTCAATGGGAATGAAGGGAGCCGGGTCCTTTTCTGGACACATCCCAAGGCCTAGGTTTCCCGAGACCCCCCTCTGTTACCACTTCCTGTCCACCCTCCTGTGACAAGCATTGCCACCCCACTCACTCCCCTGCCTCCCGTTAAGACATCCACGTCACATTCTTTCTGGCTGTCTCACTGGCCACACAGGGCTCTCTCTCCCAGACCTGTCATTCCTCTTCAGCTCCAACCCCTCCCGTGGCTCCTGGCTGCCCAGAGGACCAAGTTCAGGTACCTCCATCCAGCAGCATCGTCGGCTGTCTGAACCCTGTGGCTCTGCTCTAAAACAAACCTGCCCTTTCACCTCCAGCTTCCCAGGTTCACCTCCCGCCTTCCTCCTCCTCCTCCAGGCACTCCTCCTTGCCTTCTCCCTAGCTCAACGCTCTGCTGGTTAGCTTAATCTTGACGTTCAGTCGCTAGGGAATACCAGTGCCCAGGTTAGGGTGGTGTTGAAGACCTGCGGCCTTGGAGTGAGGCCTCGTTGGGTCCCCAGCATCAACCAGGACAAGGGGACATCTGGTGACTAAAGGACTCTCCCACACCACCCACACCCTTTTGCAGGGCCAAACCCCGCACACACACACACACACACACACACACACACACACACACACTGGCTCCTTCACCTCTGCCTCCTGCATACTCAATTGAGTTCCCCCCACCATCACCCCAGAAGCATCAGAGACACACAGCACTGCCTCATTTCCTTGGGAGCTTGAGGGGCAGGGAGACCACAGAATATCCACAGCAAACACGGAGGGGGGAGCCTCCCAGTGGGCACCTTTAGGGATGACGCGTCCATCCGGGAGTTTGACATCCTCTGTGCAGCGGCGCGAAACGAGTGTGACGGGCGGGAACTGGCGCAGGCTCTCCTTGATGCACATGGTGATGAAGGGTAACTGGGTCAGGTCGTCCCTGGGAAGAGAGAGCACGTGACTCCCCCAGGGATGCACTGGGGTGCAGAAGCAGGAAACCAGGCCAGGAGGCCGGCCTTGCCTAGCTAGCCTCAGCTGTCCTGAGTGCAGCTCGCTCGAGCTTAGGAAGACCCAGCCACCTGCTCACCACATCTGTACAGCCCTGGGGCAGGTCTCTGGATGGAGGACGGACAGCCCAGAGGCTCAAGTCCCAGGTGTTCCACTTCTGACCCGGTTCCCTGCTTACGGCCTGGGAAAGCAGTAGAGGATGACCCAACTCCTTAAGCCCCTGTAGCCACGTGGGAGACCTGGCTGGAACACCCGGCTCCTGGCTTCAGCCTGGTCCAGCTGTGACTGTTACAGCTATTTAGGGAATGAACCAACAAATGGAAGATTTGCTCTGTCTCTGTTTCCCGCCCCATCCCCCAATAGGTCTTCGGCTAAACCTCCAGTTGTGTCCCGACTTTATCCCACCTAGAACATGAATCATGCCTTTGTCCAGAGCATCTATGCTCCGTATGCCACCTGCCCATGAGTCATGTCCCAGTAGGCTTGGATATGCCAGTAGTTGCCCCCAGTATCACTGTTCCTATTCCCAGGCACGTAGATTCATTGTATGTTTGTTGGAAAGGCAGAGAAATCTTCCACCCACTGGGTCACATCCAAATGGCTACAATGGCCAGAGATGAACCAATCTGAAGCCAGGAGCTTCTTCCAGGTCTTCCAAATGGGTGCAGGGGCCCAAGGATCTAAACCATTCTCTGCTGCTTTCCCAGGCTGTGTGCAGAAAGCTGGATGGGAAGTGGAGCAGCCGGGGCTCAAACCAGCATCCAAACAGCATGCCAATGTTCCAGGCAGAGGCTTAGCCTGGTATGCCTGCTACACCGTGCCGGCCCTCGAAAGGTACTTTTAAAATTTTACAAACAGGTCAGTACTCTGGTTAACAAGTAAAACTGTCAGCTATGGCATTAGCATCTCATGTGGACAACAGTTTGGGGTCCACTTCCAATCCAGCTCCCTGCCAATGCACCTGGTACAGCTTGAGCCTCTGTACTCACCTGGGGGGACCCAATGGCATTCCTGGCTCCTGGTTTCAGCCCAGGGTGTTTGCAGCCATAGAAGGAGTAAATCAGCAAATGAGCAATCTGTGTGTGTGTGTGTGTCCCCTGTTCCTCCCTTTCTCTCTGTGGTTCTGCTTTTCAAATCAAGAAATCAACCACACACACTGGGGTGTGAGATGTCCCAACAACTTGTCCCAGGTCCCACACTGGACATGAGACAGCTGGCACGCATGCCCAGGCTCCCAGCTTCCACTCGCCCCGCCGACGACCACTGCAGCCCCCGCCCCTTTACTGACCACTGCAGCTCCTCCAGCTCCCGACCCTTCATAACCTCACGGATCTCTTCCCGGCACTTCTCCTGGTACTCCGGGTGCTTGGCCAGGTTGAAGAGCACCCACGAGAGCCCGCTGGAGGTTGTGTCGTGTCCTGCGGGCACAGGAGCCAAAGGGGGAGGGAGGCGGGCTGCCGTGTTCAGGCAGACAGCAGAAGGTCTCCCTTCCTCACCTCCGGCAGGTTCTGCTGGGGACCCCCTACACCCTTACCCTCAAACATGAACGTGTCCGCCTCGGCACGAATGTCCTCATCGGACAACTCCTTCCCATCTTCATCCTGAAATGGGTAGTGGATGGGTCTCAGCCTTCTCATCCCCTCTCTCCCTCCTTCCCTCCCTCCCTCCCTGCACCCCAACCACCCCACTCCCCTGAGCTAAGCTGTTGGGGATTCTGGTGGCTATGGTGCAGTGTGTTAAGCTATTGCCTGCAGCACCAGCAGGGATATCAAAACAGGGGTTCAAACCCTGGTTGTTCTGTCTGCAGTTCACTTCCTGCTAATGCATCAGGAAAAACAGCAGAGGATGGCCCAACGTCTTGAGCCCTGGTTAATCATGTGAGAGACCTAGAAGAAGCTCCTGGATGCTGGCTGCGACCAGAACCAGCCACAGACTTTGCAGCCATTTGCATGGTATACCCGCAGATGCAAGACCTTGACACCCACCCCCTCGCTCTCTTTCTCTCTCTCTTCCCCCCTCATCCTCTCTCAGTTTCTCAAATACGACAAAAATGGGTTCAATTTATAATTTTTTATGTCTATGGAACTGGCAGTGCTAGCACCTCCTTTGGGTGCAGGTTCCTGTCCCAGCTGCTCTACTTCCTTCCAGCTCCCTGCCTGTGGCCTGGGAAAGCAGTCGAGGACGGCCCAAAGCCTTGGGACCCTGCACCTGCATGGGAGACCCAGAAGAAGCTCCTGCCTCCTGGTTTAGGACCAGTCCAGTTCCGGCCATTTGCAGCTATTTGGAGAGTTAATCAATAGATGGAAAATCTCTCTGCTTGGCTCTGCCTCTCTGTGTTTTTCAGTAAATGAATCTTTAAAATATATATATATATATATTCATGGGCCTGGCATGATGGCTCAACTGGGAAACCCCCAGCCTACGAACACCAGCATCCTTTATGGGTGTTGGTTCATGCTCTGGCTGATTCAGTTTCCATCCATCCATCCACCTAGGAAAGCAGTTGAGGATGTCCCAAAACCTTGAGACCCTGCACCCATACAGGAAAACTGGAGGAAGCTCCAGTCGTTGCAGCCATTTGGGGAGTGAACCAGTGGATGGAAAATCTTTATCTCTTTCTCTCGGTGAGTCTGCTTTTTCCAATACAAATAAATAAATCTTTGCAAAAAGTCATAAGGACTCAAAGTCATGGTCAAGGCAGCCCAGGTAACTCGCTTCAATAGTTTCCTGCATTCGCGTCTGACTCTAGCCCAGGCCTGCATGGGTCAGGCTGTGTGTCATCCCCTGCAGCTGGTGAAAGCCCTGGGCATGCACAGTGCCACCCTGGAGCCCAGCCTCACCCTCGCCAGGAGCAGCACGTCAATGAAATCCAAGGCCTTGCCCTGTTTGGCCTTCAGCCAGGCCTGGGTGCCCTGCTGGCACAGGGCCCTCCGGCGCTCCTGGATGACCTCGGTGGTGAAGCGGTGCACAATATTGCAAGCTCGGCGGAAGTGTCGGCCGTCAGCAGTGAGGTGGTAATACACGAAGTCCAGGTAGTGATGCAGGCGGTACTGGCGCCGCACGACCAGTGCGCTCAGTTCGATGATGGCTGAGATATAGTCACTCATCTTCCTGGCAAGGAGAGAGCCAAGTCAGGGACAGAGGGCCCCAGCCAGTCCCAGGGTATGGCCCCAGACAAGTCTCCTCGCCCTCATCGCTTAGACAACAAATGGGCCCTATGTTGGTTCTATCATCTGATTGTTTATTCTTTTTAACGCTTGGGTCATCTTTCTCCCACTTCCCCTTAAACATCAGCTGGGAGCTGGGTTGGAAATAGCGCAGCCAGAAACCCCACCAGCATCCCGAAATGGAATACAGGCCAGCCAAAAGCAAATGGTCGTTGGAACTCTGTCGCCCAGCAGCTCCCACACTTCTCCTTACAGATGTTTGAAGGGACGTGTGCACTAGGGACCATCTATGAGACCCAGTGTGGTGGTACGGCCCGCGAGTACTCAGCCAGCAACAAGTGCCCCACTACGCCAACAACCACGGCAGGTTGCACATGGCAAGGATACAGGACCTGAATGGATTTCCTGGCTCTTGGCTTCCATCTGGCTATTGTGGGCATCTGGAGGGGTAAACCAGCAGGAAGATTCTCTCTCTCGCTCTGCCTTTCGAATCAGTGCATCTTTCTCTCTCTTTTTTTTTTTTTTAAAGATTTATCTATTTTTATTAGGAAGTCAGATATACAGAGAGGAGGAGAGAGAGTGGAAGATTTTCTGTCCAATGATTCACAGCCATCCTCCACTAGATGGGAAGTGGAGCTGCCGGGATTAGAACCGGCGCCCATATGGGATCCCAGCACGTTCAAGGCAAGGACTTTAGCCGCTAGGCCACTGCACCAGACCCCTAGTACATCATTTTTTTTTTTTAAAGAACAGTTTTAGGCTCTGTGGCTAAATCCTTGCCTTGCATGCACCAGGATCCCATATAGTCGTTGGTTCATGTCCCAGCTGCTCCACTTTCCATCCAACTCTCTGCTTGTGGCCTGGAAAACAGCAGAGGACGGCCCAAAGCCTTGGGACCCTGCAACCGTGTGGGAGACCCGGAAGAAGTTCCTGGCTCCGGCTCGGCTCAGCTCCAGCCATTGTGGTTGCTTAAGGAGCGAGCCAGCGGCTGGAAGATCTTTCTGTATCTCCTTCTCTCTCTCTGTAGATCTGCCTTTCAATTAAAAATGAACAATTTTTTTAAAAAAAATTGAGCACATTCATAAACAAATTTTCCCAACATGGCTACAGAAAAGGAATGAAAATGTCCATTTTCTGGATAAAGCAGATGAGCCCCACAGGTGGTGGCTCCCTCCGGAGCACCTGCCGCCTACCTCCTCCACGACCTCGTGCCCTGGGTACACTCACTCCTGGCAGTTGCTGTTGTAGCTGAAGACGCATTTCTGCAGGCTGTCCAGGGTCATGAGGCTGACGTGCTCAAACATGTCCAGAGACACCACCGAGGAGCCCTTGGCCAGGCGTCGCCACTTGGCCTGCAAGGTACATAGGCAGCTTGTGGACATGGAGGCCTCAAGCCACGAGCCAGGAGCCAGCGGCTCACCACCACCAGCCACCACTTGACTGACTCGCAGCAGCTGCCTCCCCCAGGAGCCGAGGCCATGAAGGCACTGGACT